CCGTGTCACGAGCAAAAAAATCCTGCCCGCGGTTGCAACAGTCATGTCGCACTGCGCTCCTGCGCTGGACAGCCCGCCCGTACTGCAAGCCCCCTCCTCCCAACCTCAAGCCGAGGATGCGGTCTTCCCATGTTGCGCTGCATTCACGCACCTGTGGTGCCTGGTGCAGCGCGCACCGCATCACGGCAGCTGCCGAAACTGCAGAGCCGTTGTCGACCACCTGCTACGGGAATCTTCAATCGCTTCTCGATATCGAGATTTGGGCATCGACTTAGAACATCTTAGAACACGAAGCACCTCCGCCGCGTGGCACGGCTTTCGCCGTTGTCCGCGACCACTCCACCCGCACCTTCTCGCGAGCAGACGCGCCTGAACCAGTCGAGCCGCTCCACATCCGTCCCGTTTGCTGCCGTCGCCTCGCCGGACCTGCCAAGGATTTCGTTGAGCTGCCGGACGCTCGCATGCTTTGGGCGCCGGTGCCGCAGCGGCAAACGGACGGCATCGGCGCTTGGCAGGCATTGTGGATTTGCATTCGCTGCCAGCGTGAACTCCCACTTGACCGCATCAACTGTTGCCCGAGCCACGTCCGGCTTGCCCCCTCTTGCGACCGACCCGTCCGCCCGTCGACGAAGGCGCTCCGGCCGGAGCGAGCGAACTCCCCACGTCGCAATGTGCCTGTGTCCGCACCGCCGCCTCATTGCCCCGAGACGCATGCATCTATGGCTAACTTCGGCCCACCGTCACGGCCATTCCGTGACGGGACTACCTCGCGCGTGTATGTCCCTTTACTGCTCGATGCTGCATCAAGCAGGCAGCAACAGAGAGAGAGAGAGAGAGAGAAGAAAAAAGAGAGATGGGCGACGAGGTGATGCGTTGTCGTGTGAGCCTAAATCCACGGCGGGCCAGCACCGGGGTAACCACGGGTAGTTTTTCGGAACCTGGGCTACCAAGGATTTCAGCCGGGTTTGGGTCGAGCTCACGGATTTTCAGTTGGCTGAAATCCTTTTTTTCGCGGAGAAGCATTCAGCGCGAAGTCGTGTGACCGGGTCGCGCGGGCCCATTGTGACGGGCGTATCCCGCGCTCAGCGCAGCGGGAGGCGGCTCGGGCCATCTGCGCTCAGCGAGCGCCAACACGTGGTCCAATGCGGGCTCGCACCCTGCGGCGCCGCTGGCAACCAGCCGCGGGCACGTGGCTCCCAGGGCCGTGCCGCCGACGGCATGCTGCACCGCGGCCGACAACATGCCAGTGGAGGCGGCAGCTCGGAGGGCCAGCGGCGCGCGGAGAGCCCGTACCCGGACGAGCTGTCGGACAAGCGCGTGCGAGTCGGCGTTCAAGCGCCCTCCGACCTCTACAGCAAGGACGAAGAGGCGTTGGCCACCGCCGCGCAGCAACTCCGGATACGTTGCGCGCTTGCGGCTCTCGGCCATTCGCAAGGCGACGCCGGGAGTATGGTCCGCTTGTGGGTGGGGGGTGCATGGCGGTGCTCGCTCCGGTGATGGGGCAGTGGTGGGGCTAACCGGCGTGGCATTGCAACAGAGGCCCTGAGGCGAGGCGCCGTACACCACGAGGTCGAGGCGTCGGCGGTCCGACGTCGGGACATGTCGGGACTCCTGGCGCCGACGTCTCCGACAGCAACTGCTGGGGGACAACGCGTCCCTCCGCGCCCACCGCCTCGCGGCATACTGCGAGCCAGGCTTGCTCGACCAGCTTCGCTCGGCGTGCCAAAAGGCCGCTGTGTGTGCTGGCGAGGGTGTGGTCGCCCCAAGGCTTTAGCCGTCGCAAAGGCAAACGGAGGCGTCTGCGAAGAGCGATTTGCATGACCTCTGGCAGCAGCGAGGTGGACCTGTCCGTGTATACGGCTGTAAGCTACGCGCCGGCTTGTGGGCCCGATTGGGACAGCAACAGTGCCTGGTGAGCCGGCTCTAGGGTGGGCAGTAGGACTCGATCGCGAAAGTATAGAGTGAGCGTGTACGCGACGCGTGGAACTGCCAGCGTGAGGCCAATCGCCAGGCCCGGCCTCCCGGGCACACGGGGCTGCGCGTGAGGTGCTGAGGAGTGCTGCCAACGTGGGGCATTCCTGCCAGCCCTCGCTTCGCAGTAGGTTTGCAGCGGCGTGGACCGCGCTCAGGGCAGGTCGGCCAGCGCCGCCGCGCTCCAGCGCTTGCACACATGCCGATGCCAAGCACGGTTGCCGCACGTGCCAATAGCCCAGTGTGTCCGCCCAGGCGCCCCAGTAAGCGGCCGGCGCAGGGAGCATGGCAGACTGGAGGCCCAGCCCACCCTGCGTCGCGGGCACTGCTGCAACGGCCCAGGCTGTGGACGCGAGAGGCTCGCCTTCGGCCGCTTGCTCACCGAGGATCACCGAGGCACGCCTGCAGCGTCACGCAAACGGCTCGGTTGCGTCCCTCATGTACGGCCGCACATCTTCCGGTGGGATGTTGCGCAAGGCGTGATTTGCCCGGGTGCTCGCGCACATGAGTACGAGGAGCCACGCACACTGCAAGTGCGGCAAATGGTCCAGCAGTGCTTGCTCTTCGCGCAGGCGACGCTGTTCCGATTCACGCACGCAGTCGCCGTGCCCAATAGGGACTCTCCAAAGGCAGTGAAGCCGCGATCGGGCAGGGGACGGTCGCTGTGCCAGACCTCCTCGCCGAGCTCAGCGACCCCGCACGGTGCCGTACCTCCGGTTGTGTTGTAAATCCGCGTTTTACCGACGTTGGACGCGATGCCGCAGTGCTCTTCGGCACGAGTGGCGACTACGTCCAAGGCCGGCTTAGGACGCGCCGAGCTGGTGATGACGTAGAGGTCGTCCAGGTAAGCGAGCCATTCTTTCCAAACCCGGGTCGAGAGGTTGAGCCATCCAAGCAAGGAGGATCGAACTTCTTGCTAACGGCAACTACTGATGAGAAACCACCAAGTGGATTGAACGGAAGTTTGAGATGTGTCTCCTAGCATCAAGAGGACCCGGGCGGGCATCATAAGCATCAGCAACCTATCCCAGAGCATCTTGGGAATCCTGCTACAGCGCGGCAAGTGCAGCCTGAGTGCAGCCGGCCTCCTGTCGGCTGATGCGCAGACCCTCGTCTCCAGCTCACTCGAGCGCTTTTGGTCACAGTTCGCGTCACTCACAGAGGTCATCCGCGCCATCACCTCGCCGGATGAAGGCCAGCGTAAAGCGTTAATTGCATTCTTGGTCGGCCCAGCGGCCGCATTCCTGTTGCCGCCTTGCAGCCCGCGCCACCCGTGCACGAGGGTTCCCCACCCGCAGCTCAGCCGGCGTGGCGGACGCACACGAGGGCGAGGCAGGCACACCGCCGCGGCTCGTGCCGGCTCCCCTCCCACTCCAACCCCTGCGCAGGGAGACGGCCACAACGGGGTTGCGCTCGCATCCCGGGCGCCAACACTCTGGGTTGCGGCAGGCGCGTGGGCCTTGCCGACACGCGGCGGGACTTTGCCTGGTTCTCCGGCCGTGCCGTCCCGACCCCGTGGGTCGCAGTTGCTCTCTGACCCTCGTCGTCCCGTGCCATGTAGTCTGTTTGCGCTACGACTTGGAAGGCTTGGACTCCCGTCGTGCAATCGCAAAACGGCGCATGAGAAAAAAAACAAGAAAACGGGCGCCCCTGCCGGCGCAGCCCTTGCAGAGGCTCGCCGACTCGCAGGTCTAAGGAGCGCACTTACCCGGAATTCAGCCGTGCCGCGCGGTGTCGCTTGGTCACGTCGTGCTGGGCATCGAGGTAGGCGGGCGCTGGAGTGCAGAAGCAGCCAACTTCGTTCGGCTATTGGCCCGAGCACGGGCTCGCAATGCCGCCCCGTCGCAGTGTGCAGCAGCTGTCGCTGCCTTATTGTGGCACGATGGTCGGGGTTGTTGACGGTCGCGGCAGCAAGGTCTTTTGCTACCAGCTTGCTCTCCCTGCCATCGCCAATACGGCCAATGTTGACGGCGAACCACCCTTGCTCAGCGACGTCCCCGCTGATTCCTCACAGCCGCCTCCTCTCGTTTCCCGCCTTGCCTAGTGAGCTCACCGCTGGAGCTCCTGCTGCACTGGGACCGCGTGAATGGTTGCAAAAAGGCGTGTTGAAATAAAAAACAACCATCGTTTCGGGCCCCCACTAGAGATAACATGTCTTAGGTATAAACCTTTTTTTGGCGGCATGCAGTTCTTCGTGCAGGTGATGTTTGTGTTGTATGTTCATAGAGTATCCAGAATCACTTATGGCCTCGGTCTTTTTCGTTTCCTCAGGGGTCGATTGGCTTCCAATGGCTTCCAAATGCTTCCAATTATTTGCTTTTCTTAATGCTACCTTTCTGTAAGTTACTCACGGCGGGGATCTGTTTATTCAAGGGTTTTTGTTTGAATTGTTCGTACTTGTAGTTGTATTCCATACTATTCCACATCATCGAAAAAGTGGTTCATGATAATCATGATGAGCGATTGCCATGAGGCTATGAAGCCAATCCGGAAATCTCTCGGACAGACTTGGCAGCGTTGTTTGCAAGGGCTAATCTGGGTCTAGGCCGCCAGGGAGCCGCTTCATAGTGAAAATGTCCCTGACCCTCTTGGCCCTTACGGGCCCTTCGAACCCTGAGTGCAGTGCCGGAAGTGTTCTTCGTCATCAGGGGCTCGGCCAGCCAGCGGCCAGCTGACAAAGCAAAGTTTAGGGTCGAGGGCTGAGGCTAGGTTTCAGGGTTTGGGGATTTAGGTTCGTCGACGGCTGATGGCAAGAGTCCTGGATGCAAAAGGTTCGTCGACGGGTTGAAAGGGCTCCCCACTCCCCAGCAGCACCAGCGTCCAGCACCTTAGCATGCCTAGCACCCATGCACTGGCGCAGACCGAAGGTAAACAGTTGTGAAAAGTTTGCAAACTGAGACAAAGACGAGCACTCCAACGGCAAAGCTGAATACGACCATGCACTACTAATACCGTGGGCATCCACAAACCCGGAAGACAGTAGCACCACGCAGAATGAGGGCCATTCAGCTTGTAATCGCAGCGGGCGCATGTTCGAAGCGATGATCAACAGCGACTTTGCACCTTCGTCTCTGGCAGTGCTGCATGCGAATGGTCCGTTTCCTGGCGGCAATGCGCTACAAGAAACATAGTGTCGTGACGCCATGCATAAAGGGCAACGGTGCATGTCGCTTGCACAAAAAATTCTGTGTACGTGCAGGCATCCGGCGATGGGCGGCGACATGCAGACACAGGTGTCGGTCAGAATTGTGCATATGACTGACCATCTGCAATGATGCAATGGCCTTGATCGGTTATGCGGTTGCAGGCTCAGCGATTCCCATCCGTACCCGATGTCCAACGTTCACCAGGGCCAGTCGCGTGCTTATGAACTGCACTATGCTGCTTGTGTTCGTAGTCAGCTTCAGACTTCGCATGTTCGGCAGAGCGACAGGCGAGAGGGAAAACAGAATATGTACATGTCCTACTCAGTCCGAATACTGTATATAGGCCACAGATTCATGTTTGGCCGAGGTATGTGTTCCCCCCCGCATCCGTTGTGCTTTGAGCTTTACCATATGGCCAAAACTGGGCGTCCACATGTATCGACTTAGACCATGTCCCCCTTCTGATTGAGATCTTCTATGCGCAAGGAACCGAATTAGCAATTTGATTTTTCGTGGCCCTAGGCCCTAACTGTGCGAGGCACGCTTCCGGTGGGACAAGGACAATGCCAGCATGGTGTGTTTCGATCGACCGCAGCTTGGCGGCAACAAGGTGTATTGGCCCCGGTAATGGTGCATGTGTGTTCCGCCGTTGAGGCATGTAAAATTCGAAGGACGGGCGCGTGATTCGCCATGATGTTATCTCACCATACGCACGCTGCACAACCTGCCCATGCGGTCTGCAGGAGTGTCATGTACGCATGCCGATTACAAGCCTCCGCCGCTCTCAGCTTTGCGGAGTTTTGTCGATGGTCACGTCGTGAACAAGGTGGAGGACATGCACCCAGTGGTCCACATCTGAAATGATACTAGTACTCGATGGTGATGATGCATCTTAAATTTCATTAGGCATCTTTTCGAACGGAGTGGTGGGGTCTCTGGCAGGAGCGATTCCCACAGCCACAGCTGGAAGCCCGATGCGGCTCAGGTGGCATAGCGAGCGTGGTTTTCATAGTTACAAATATTGACCCCTTGTGTATCTTCCAATCCTTCCATTACATCTCATGACAGCCTACTGCTGCGTGACGCATTTGTTGGGAGGCGAGTCTGAGAGTCACAGCCGGTACAAAGCACCACCTTCGGATGCGTATCGTGCGGACATCCTGCGCCCACGCTCGGAGTACTGGGAGGACGGATCCGGGTGTTGTCCCTTGCTATGACTGCTATGACTTTATCGCGGTCTTCACAGCATCGATATGGTCTTCATGTCCATGCTTATATTCTCAATTTCGGGCCCGTCCTACAATCTCTGTATAGGCCGTCCTTTTCAACAGCCGGAACGCACCAGCAGCTTTTTTTTGAGATCTTCTACTTTTTCAGCTGACGTTGAACAAGGACGAGTGTCTAGATTTTTGTACTCGCAGGTTTTCCTGTAGCTCCGAAAATAATGGCCACAATGCTGATCGCCAAAGTACGCTGACAATTCAGCACCATTGCCAGGGTGCGCTTCAAGCATCTTCAAGCCATCACAGCAGTACTGTAGCAGTTGTTTTACATGGTTTCTGGGTTGCGTCCTGAACAGATTCTTGGACAATCCAACATATCATGCGGTCACCTGCATGCCAGGCTTGCCGCTTCCCGGACAGACATGTGGCTCGGCGATGGGAACAAAAACGCGAGAAACTGCGGAGAAAGACGGTCGGTGTACCTCGCGGGACTTGTTTATACATACATGCGAACACACATATCAACATCTACACACATAAGTAGAAACACGCACAGAAGTAAAAATGCTTTAGCAAGCTTGTAGTACAGCGCAGAGAGTGTTATATGTCTGTGAGCGGTAGGATTTCAAAGATTCCAAGTCTTCGGCAAGACCAGAAACTCCTGCCAGCATCCCTATCGGCACACCATAGCACGAGGCGTGGTAGGCCCATGGTGCCTACATCAGACTGGCATCGGGTTCAGGCGACTATACCATCCAGGGTTGTGTCACCCTGGTGCCTCCCAGGTGCCGATTCAGAGGACATCCTGCACCCATGACTCCTTCAGAGCGCCCCCATTGGCGGATCTGCGGCAGCCGGCGGTAGTGGAATCTTGTATACAGTCTGGAACGGTGCCAGGGCTCCTTGATGATTTTGCTGCCGACTCGCATCAAAACTAAAATCTGTGAAGAAAACAGCATTCGTCTTCTCCTATGACAAGTTCACGCAAACAACCTTAAGTAATTAATTAATTGGAGTTTCATATTACTTCGGGGCTGTGAAAATTAGGACTCCATAAACTGGGATGGCTTCCATGACAAATAGTTTGGTGTCCGACCCACGGCAGCTAAGGATTGCCACATGCAGGGAGCGGAAACAAAAGTCTTCTTCAGTGGCGAGTCAACTGTGCAGGCAGATTACAAGGCACCACCGCCAGATGTGGCGAAATTGGCCATGGAAGGTGGCCAGCCACCACCCACGCTTCCGATCGGTGACCCCAGTGCAAGGTTCGAGGGGCAGTCGAGGACTCACTGTGATTACCAGCCCCCACCTTTGGAAGCTTTTCGTGTCACATCCGCACTGCCCACTCTTCTCTGCCCAGACATGCAGCCTAGCATCCCGTTCGTGGGGCAGTCCTCGATGCATGCTGACTATGCAGCACCTCCAGTGGCTCCATTGACTGCATTTTCCGCGCCTGTCCCTCACCGGCAGTCCGCCGCACAGGACCTCATCCATCCTCACCCTGGCCAGAAGTCAGTGTCAACTGCGCACCATGATTACAAAGCCCCAGGCCTAGAGCAGTTGCGGCAGGCCCTGGTGCAAAGTGGCATGGAGGCACCGCAAATGCCTTTGCCTCGCACGAAGTTCGAAGGAGAATCCTGCACACACAGAGATTTTCAGGCCCCTCCCAGCGTCATCCCAGAATTCCGAGCACCGCTCGGCGATGCCATGCCTGCTGTGCGGGAGCTATTGCAGCCCACGGCTGGCACGCTCAACGAATCAACAACGCAGCATGATTACCGAGCCCGGCCACTGGGATCATGGTACCAAGACTTGTCATCAACCCGGGAGGAAACGATCCCGCTGCCGCGGACACGCTTCCAGGGCGAGTCAACTGTGCAGGCAGATTACAAGGCACCACCGCCAGATGTGGCGAAATTGGCCATGGAAGGTGGCCAGCCACCACCCACGCTTCCGATCGGTGACCCCAGTGCAAGGTTCGAGGGGCAGTCGAGGACTCACTGTGATTACCAGCCCCCACCTTTGGAAGCTTTTCGTGTCACATCCGCACTGCCCACTCTTCTCTGCCCAGACATGCAGCCTAGCATCCCGTTCGTGGGGCAGTCCTCGATGCATGCTGACTATGCAGCACCTCCAGTGGCTCCATTGACTGCATTTTCCGCGCCTGTCCCTCACCGGCAGTCCGCCGCACAGGACCTCATCCATCCTCACCCTGGCCAGAAGTCAGTGTCAACTGCGCACCATGATTACAAAGCCCCAGGCCTAGAGCAGTTGCGGCAGGCCCTGGTGCAAAGTGGCATGGAGGCACCGCAAATGCCTTTGCCTCGCACGAAGTTCGAAGGAGAATCCTGCACACACAGAGATTTTCAGGCCCCTCCCAGCGTCATCCCAGAATTCCGAGCACCGCTCGGCGATGCCATGCCTGCTGTGCGGGAGCTATTGCAGCCCACGGCTGGCACGCTCAACGAATCAACAACGCAGCATGATTACCGAGCCCCGCCACTGGGATCATGGTACCAAGACTTGTCATCAACTCGGGAGGAAACGATCCCGCTTCCGCGGACACGCTTCCAGGGCGAGTCAACTGTGCAGGCAGATTACAAGGCACCACCGCCAGATGTGGCGAAATTGGCCATCGAAGGTGGCCAGCCACCACCCACGCTTCCGATCGGTGACCCCAGTGCAAGGTTCGAGGGGCAGTCGAGGACTCACTGTGATTACCAGCCTCCACCCTTAGAAGCACTTATGTTAAGCCTGAAAGCGGATGACACTGCACGGGTTCAGGAAGAAGCCACATTTTCTTCGACGCATGGTGGGGCCTTCGAGGGGGTGTCGACCAGCCACCATGATTTTTTGCAGCCACCAAAGGAAGCGTATCCCAAAAAACCAAGCAGACGAGCCAGCAAGCTCGATGGCGAGCCTGCGGCACCTCTGCAGAACTTGTGGGAGTGGCTTCATAGTGCCGAGCAAACCAGCGCCTCACCCAACGAGTCCTCCATGCGAGCAGATTACAAAGCACCTCCGCCTGCGGCGCCTGCAGACACCCAGTTCAAGAGCGGGCAAGAGACTCAAGAAAGCCAACATGCAATACACTTCGAGGCCACGTCATCTATGCGGTCTCACTACCCACCACCGCCAGCAGAAGCACTCAGCATTGCTCCTGCAGACGTTCGTTCTCGTCAAGGTGATCTGCGAGACAGCTTTGTTCTGGCTACGAAGTTCGAAGGCGAGTCCACTGCGCAGAGAGACTTCGTAAAGCATCCGGTTGGAGCATTGCCAGATTTGTGCCCGACATCGCTCGACAGCAGAAGCATTGCAGAGAATCCCCCGTTCCAAGGTGAGTCGTCCATGCGGGCTCACTACCCAGCGCCGCCACCTGATGCATTCAGAATTGCCACTGCAGATTCCCGGTGTCGTCAAGATGATCTGCAGCATAGCTCTGTTCAAGCGGCATCGTTTGAAGGTGAGTCCACGGCGCACAGAGACTTCCAAAAGCACCCTGTTCCGGTAGAGGAGTTGCCAGACATGAGCCAGATGTCACGCGACGCCAGCAAAAGCGACTCGCACCATCTTCCATTCGAAGGAGAGTCGTCCATGCGGGCTCACTATCCAGCACCGCCGCCTGATGCATTCAGAGTTGCCCCTGCGGACGTGCGGTCTCGTTGGGATGACATGATGCAGAGCTCTGTTCAAGCTGCAAGGTTTGAGGGCGAGTCCACGGCACACAGAGACTTCCAACAACATCCGGTTGAAGCGTTGCCAGAGTTGTGCCCGACATCGCTCGACAGCAGAAGCGTAGCAGAGAATCCCCCGTTCCAAGGTGAGTCGTCCATGCGGGCTCACTACCCAGCGCCGCCACCTGATGCATTCAGAATTGCTACTGCAGATTCCCGGTGTCGTCAAGATGATCTGCAGCATAGCTCTGTTCAAGCGGCATCGTTTGAAGGTGAGTCCACGGCGCACAGAGACTTCCAAAAGCACCCTGTTCCGGTAGAGGAGTTGCCAGACATGAGCCAGATGTCACGCGACGCCAGCAAAAGCGACTCGCACCATCTTCCATTCGAAGGAGAGTCGTCCATGCGGGCTCACTATCCAGCACCGCCGCCTGATGCATTCAGAGTTGCCCCTGCGGACGTGCGGTCTCGTTGGGATGACATGATGCAGAGCTCTGTTCAAGCTGCAAGGTTTGAGGGCGAGTCCACGGCACACAGAGACTTCCAACAACATCCGGTTGAAGCGTTGGCAGAGTTGTGCCCGACATCGCTCGACAGCAGAAGTGTGGCAGAGAATCCCCCGTTCCAAGGTGAGTCGTCCATGCGGGCTCACTACCCAGCGCCGCCACCTGATGCGTTCAGAATTGCTACTGCAGATTCCCGGTGTCGTCAAGATGATCTGCAGCATAGCTCTGTTCAAGCGGCATCGTTTGAAGGTGAGTCCACGGCGCACAGAGACTTCCAAGCACATCCTATGCAAGCTGTGCCAGAGCTGGCGCCCGACAGAAGCGTGGTGCACACTCTTCCGTTCGAAGGCGAGTCGTCCATGCAGTCACACTACAGAGCACCGCCACAGGATGCTTTCAAGGTTGCTCCCGCAGATGCTCGGTCTCGTCAAGGTGATCTTCAGCATAGTTCTGCTCAAGCTGCGCAGTTCGAAGGCGAGTCCACGGCACACAGAGATTTTCAAGCACATCCTGTGCCGGCTTTGCCAGAGCTTCTGCCGGACAACAGCGGGGTGCATACTCTTCCGTTCGAGGGCGAATCGTCTATGCAGGCGCACTACAAGGCACCGCCACAGGACGCTTTCAAGGTTGCTCTTGCAGACGCTCGGTCTCGTCAAGGTGATCTGCAGCATAGTTCTGCTCAAGCTGCGCAGTTCGAAGGCGAGTCCACGGCACACAGAGACTTCCAAGCACATCCTGTGCAAGCTGTGCCAGAGCTGGCGCCCGACAGAAGCGTGGTGCACACTCTTCCGTTTGAAGGCGAGTCGTCCATGCAGTCACACTACAGAGCACCGCCACAGGATGCTTTCAAGGTTGCTCCTGCAGATGCTCGGTCTCGTCAAGGTGATCTGCAGCATAGTTCTGCTCAAGCTGCGCAGTTCGAAGGCGAGTCCACGGCACACAGAGATTTCCAAGCACATCCTGTGCAAGCTGTGCCAGAGCTGGCGCCCGACAGAAGCGTGGTGCACACTCTTCCGTTCGAAGGCGAGTCGTCCATGCAGTCACACTACAGAGCACCGCCACAGGATGCTTTCAAGGTTGCTCCCGCGGATGCTCGGTCTCGTCAAGGTGATCTGCAGCATAGTTCTGCTCAAGCTGCGCAGTTCGAAGGCGAGTCCACGGCACACAGAGACTTCCAAGCACATCCTGTGCAAGCTGTGCCAGAGCTGGCACCCGACAGAAGCGTGGTGCACACTCTTCTGTTCGAAGGCGAGTCGTCCATGCAGTCACACTACAGAGCACCGCCACAGGATGCTTTCAAGGTTGCTCCCGCAGATGCTCGGTCTCGTCAAGGTGATTTGCAGCATAGTTGTGCTCAAGCTGCGCAGTTCGAAGGCGAGTCCACGGCACACAGAGACTTCCAAGCACATCCTGTGCAAGCTGTGCCAGAGCTGTCGCCCGACAGAAGCGTGGTGCACATTCTTCCGTTCGAAGGCGAGTCGTCCATGCAGTCACACTACAGAGCACCGCCACAGGATGCTTTCAAGGTTGCTCCTGCAGACGCTCGGTCTCGTGCAGGTGATCTGCGACATAGTTGTGCTCGAGCTGTAAAGTTCGAAGGCGAGTCCACGGCACACAGAGATTTCCAAGCACATCCTGTGCCGGCTTTGCCAGAGCTGCCGCCGGACAACAGCAGGGTGCATGCTCTTCCGTTCGAGGGCGAATCGTCTATGCAGGCGCACTACAAGGCACCCCCACAGGACGCTTTCAAGGTTGCTCTTGCAGACGCTCGGTCTCGTCAAGGTCATCTGCCGCATAGTTCTGCTCAAGCTGCAATGTTCGAGGGCGGGTCCACGGCACACAGAGACTTCCAAGCACATCCTGTGCAAGCTTTGCCAGAGCTGCTGCCAGACAGAAGCGTGGTGCACACTCTTCCGTTCGAAGGCGAGTCGTCCATGCAGTCACACTACAAAGCACCGCCACAGGATGCTTTCAAGGTTGCTCCTGCAGACGCTCGGCCTCGTCAAGGTGATCTGCAGCATAGTTCTGCTCAAGCTGCGCAGTTCGAAGGCGAGTCCACGGCACACAGAGATTTCCAAGCACATCCTGTGCAAGCTGTGCCAGAGCTGGCGCCCGACAGAAGCGTGGTGCACACTCTTCCGTTCGAAGGCGAGTCGTCCATGCAGTCACACTACAGAGCACCGCCACAGGATGCTTTCAAGGTTGCCCCCGCAGATGCTCGGTCTCGTCAAGGTTATCTGCAGCATAGTTCTGCTCAAGCTGCGCAGTTCGAAGGTGAGTCCACGGCACACAGAGATTTCCAAGCCCATCCTGTGCAAGCTTTGCCAGAGCTGCCGCCAGACAGCAGCGTGGTGCACACTCTTCCGTTCGAAGGCGAGTCGTCCATGCAGTCACACTACAGAGCACCGCCACAGGATGCTTTCAAGGTTGCTCCTGCAGATGCTTTTTCTCGTCAAGGTTATCTGCAGCATAGTTCTGCTCAAGCTGCACAGTTCGAAGACGAGTCCACGGCACACAGAGATTTCCGAGCCCATCCTGTGCCGGCGTTACAAGAGGCACGGCCCGAAAGCAGTATCATGCCATGTCATCTTCCTTTCGAAGGCCAGTCGTCCATGAGGGCTCACTACCAGGCACCGCCACCAGATGCTTGCAACTTTGCCCCAGTGCACGCCCAGTCTCGTCAAGTTGAAATGCAGCACGGTCTTGTGGAAGCTGCAAAGTTTGAGGGGGAGTCCACCGCGCGCAGAGACTTCCAAGCACCTCCCATGCAGGCTTTGAAACACTTCCCTACTCTCGACAGCCGCAGTTTGCCGTGCAGCCTGCCCTTCGAAGGCACGTCTTCTATGCGGGCTCACTACCAACCACCGCCACGCTCCGCCTTCCTGTTGCAAACACAGCACATTGCGACGCCAGTGCGGCACGCCTCAAGATCTCAGGGCACCATTACTGCACGTTCCGATTCCCAAGCTCACGGGGAGCCAGGCCAGCAACATGGACAGGGACAAGTGGCCGCAGAGGCCAGTGTCCCGATGGTGGCCTGCTGCACGGCTCCGTCACCCGAAACACTCCCAAGCGCATCGTGGCAACAGCCCGCTGCCGGGAGGGGCGGCGGCATCCTGCATCGCCCAAATTCGGATTGTGAGCTAGTCAATGCGTCTTCAGGCAGTGCTTGCGTTCCTCCTTTCCAGCTTGGGACATGCGAGCAAGAACCCTCCGTGCTGACTTACCAGGAGCAGGACAGGCCAAATCAAACGGAGACAGGTTTGCAAGTTGTAGGAGGCCAGGAAGCGCCCAGTGCCAGGACGCATCAAAGTTTCAAGGTTCCATCCCTGGACCGGTTGCGAGCGATTCTTCAGGAAGCTGAGGCATGCTGCACGGAGACCCGGCGGGAGGATTATGAGGCTCTTGGCACAGGGCTCGAGGCAACACAGAAGCCCGACAGATCCAGATATTCACCTGGTCCTGGCTGTGCACCAGATCTGCGCAGACCGGCGGGGTGCAGCAGCTCGGAGATTGCACGGAGTTTGTCCCAGGACAGAGGGAGGGCACGCCCTGAGCCTCAGCTTCAGCGGACTCTTGATGCGCCGGCAACAGGTAGCTCTCAGGCACTTGAAGCTCGGGCTGAGCATCGAGTTGGGCCTCGCTGCGACGACCGGCCAGCAGAGGCAGAGGCGACACGGCCGTGGGAGCGCAATCGAGACTCGAGAGCATCTGCTGTCATCTGTCTTCCCGCATCCAGAGGCCGCCTTCTCCCTGGCCGACAGTGCACGGCGAGAAGCTTCACGGCCGTGCCCGTTTCAGACCTAGGGCAGATCATGGCCCAGCTAGGATGCTTTTGTGAATGCTGTGCTACTGTTCATGTGTGGTGGGTCCCTGCTTTCCCAGGCCAGTCTTCGTGCAGCAGCCTCTTCCAGGCACATGTTTCTGTCGTGACACCTGCAGTAGCTCCAGGATGCTTCAGGTGGGATGTGGCAACAAGTCGACTGCAAGATCGATCTCCAGACGCCGCAAACGCGAAACTTGCTAGAGTCGCTACAAACATCTACAAACCAGATCCTACGCTCCGAAGCTGTTCCTTCAGAGCATGAGGGTCATAGCGGCTTAGCGGAGCTCCCTGTCCTGGAGTTTCAAACTCGTCGCGATGCCCCGAACCTACGGCAACTCCTCTTGTAGATTGTGAACGTGATGTCCCCATTGATTTTGCTACGTACGTACCTCTTTACCAGACTTCCTTGTTAGCTTGAGCTCGTCATCATTCGCTGCAGTTTCCCAGACTCCCTTGTTAGTTTGAGCTCGTCATCATTCGCTGCAGTCTTCATCGGCCTGCCCAGCCCCCGCCCAAAGGCCACGTACACCCGGAGAAAGGGGTGATATTAGCCGCCCTCGCAGAAGACTTATTTTAAAAAGGGCAAAAATGACAGCACCACCACCACCAACACCACAACCACAGCAACCACAAGAGCGACAGCTTCAACGACATACAACAGTTGTGCTCACACCTCTCACCATGTCGTGCCGGGCAGCCCCGTTTAGTCGCCGGCGGATGCACTGGGATTCAGCACATGTTCCGGTGTAGGGACACCCAGATAGTCCGGTGTTGGGCAAGAACGTCGGAGACCCGCTCCGAAAGGTGTGCGCTCTGCCAGCCAGCCGTCACGAAAGCGCCCCAGCGAGGCACCGCGAGGCTCGGGAATGCAGCTTGTGAGAGACCTGACCAAAAGTCGCAAGCAGCTCGAAGGATGGGCCCACTCCATTCCAGTATTTCCAGTCCTGTTGTGGGACAGTGGTGCATATTGGATCGTCTTCACTTTCAGATAGTCATGCATGATGTGTGTGCGCGTGTGCATTTAGACAAAAAACACTTGTCTGTTTGATTTGACTGGGCTGACTCCCAGACGGCTTTGCATTCGCATCGGCTCAGTCTGCCAGGTCCTTCCACCTTCAGGCAGCGAAGATTCTTCATGGTAGTTGCACTCGCAATCACGTGTCTAGGTTCCGCGAAACTCATGCTCGGACACATTGCCGCGACTTCGACAGGGGTGCAAGCTCGCCGTCTCGAAGTGCCCACAGCCGTCGGGTCAAAGCCTGAAGGAACGCTGGAGCCAAGCGAGTACATGCCCTGGTATTCCACGAGGTTCACGTGCTGCGGACACCGCCGAGGTTGGCATTGCTCGACATCACTTATACTTTATACAATCTGATACACATTATCGGGGCTCACAAATCGGCAGACCCGGCAAGTCCGCAGTACCGTAGACCGGAGCGTGCAGTTCGGCAAGGCATTTGATGAGGGCACAGGCCTTGGCACAGCCAGATCGGAGTACTGGGTCGACTTTCGTCCGGCACTCTTCTGTTCAAGGACGAGACAGAGCCGCTTGCAGAAGACGGCCGCCGGCTTCTCTCAATGGCTCGGGGCCAAGAAGCCCAGCGATGTGGAGCCGCGAACACAAGGGACTGGTGGTTTGGGCTTTGAAGTTTGGGTGAAGTTCGGCTCAGAGCCCAGCCGTTTTCAGAGGCAGAGAGCCACGAGCCGGAGCAGCCTGCCGGGCTGCCCTCGAGGTTGGAAGAAGCGAAGAGGGAGAGTGAGACCCAACAAGTCGTCACAAAGATGAGAAGGTTAGATTGTTGGGTTTCGAATGGAGCATTGCCACGAAGAGCACGGACAAAGGGGCATCGAATCACCAGCCGAATCTAGAAGCCATGCATGCTCTGGCCGAGCGATCCATGTTGCAGTGCCTTGATTGGGAGTGGTTCATGCCAGGTATGCCAGACCTGATGGTGTGTGCTGCTCAGAAACTTAGCCGAGGCAATCAGCACATGCCGCAGGTGGTTCAGCAATCGCAAGGAACGTTTCAAAGCAACCTGATCGCTTGCCTGGATTTGCAAAGAGAGACACGCACACACACACACACACATCCACACACACAGTTGATTATACCCTCGATTGACCGAAGCCAAACATGGGATAGCACGTATTCCTACAATCGTAGCCTACCATCTGCTTTTCCAATCTGTTCATGCGCACTGTTTTATTCTGTTGCATCTCTTCGAATTTCTTCAATATCTTCATTTGCCGTGCAAGTGCGTTTTCAGCTCTTGCCATTGGCCTCTTCGTTGGTCATCCACCACAACAGAGAGACGTCGATTGGTTTGAAGTGTGGAAAGCACAGCGGATGCAGGCCACATCCGGTTGACCCACATTGTCTTGGATGGCCTTCTTTTTTGAACAGGATCGAGGTAGGAGTGGCGACAGTATCCCAAATTCGAGCCCTTGTCATGAAACGGTTGATGTTCTTGAAGTTACAAATGTTCAAAAATAATGAATGGTTTGGGGAAACATCAATCGGAAAGTGTCGCTCCCCCGCAAAACCCCATAACAGTGGGGGGCCCTTGCGGCCAAACAGCCTTACCAGCCCCTTGCGCCCTGACAAAGAAGGTCGATTGGTCGATCAGCATATAGTAGATAGATGTGCAAAGATCCACGTCGCTTTGTGTAATTTATGCAGAAGGTCACAGCTGCTGCGAGACAGAGGCCTTGGCAGCGTGTGCAGCTCAGGGTTGTCAGCTTGGACAGGAAGTGCACCAAGAGGCCAGGCACTATGCGGCGAAGCGCTGCTCAGGTGAGACTCCGAACCACACTCCGCCGTTTGTCGCCGGCCGAGATTTCGATTGCCACCTCTAACCCAGCTTTCATAACAAGACTATCCGGCTATATTGTGCAAATCTGCATTGCAGAGATGAGACACTGAGATCGTGGGTGCAAAGTTGAACTCGCGCTTGACCATTAAGGAGGGCGAGTTTGCTTCTCGGAGCTACAGGTCACCACCCCCAGAGGCAGGGCCTGCCGTAAGCTTCGTGCTGAGCTGCAGAAGTCAAGCCTTCAATCCGGGCACAGGTCGTCACCTCCACCCGGGCTGCCGGGCGATCGAGTGAGCGGAGTGCGTCAGACAGGGCCAGCAACCAGTGCAAGCTGTCGTGCAGTGAATTCATCCTGGCCAGAGGCTAGGGACTAAGCTGGACCGTTAAGCACACGCTCTTGCAGGCGAGCCATAGACGATACTCGTGCGGACCTCACATCAAGAGTGCAGGTTCTGTTGTCCCTGGTCTAAGCACTTTGTACTTTCGTGCCGCAGGACTATAAACCCACGTTGTAGCATATGTTCGTCATGTGGGGAACGGATTGTTTGGGTCAATGGGTGCAGTTTCCAAGCAAAAAAACATGCAGCTGAGGCATCGGTCAGCAGAGGCTCGGCTACCCGGCACGCGCTCAGCATCGAGCCACGACAAGTCGGGAACTCAAGGCAACTCATCGTAAGAGTGTCCACGGGATGGATGCATATGCCTTGAAGGAAGAATCTGCAGCGCCTTTTCCATGTAGCGATGTAGCATACATGTCAACGGAAGCGATCGGAGCTCCCATTCGCAGTGATGAGCGAGTCAGGAGGGAAAGGATACATGAGTGTTTTTGTGATTGTAGCCGTAGACGTTTTTGGCATCGTCCTCATTGCCGTTTAACTCTTTGCAAATGACGAATGCCGCTGGCCGACTTTGATTGTTGCCCCGTGTGGTGAAACCCGATCGTCTTGAGGTATAGGCTGCAGCAAAGACAAGCGGCGAAAGCCTGAGCCTAAGTGCGTGGCCAAAGTGCTGCGTACTACACCGTTGGGGCTGCTGTTGTCTACGACTATATATGAGCGAATGCTTATGCCGGAATGGATAGGCCTCCTATGCCTTCATTTGGTGCTTTGTCATCCTTGTTTTGTAGCCAATGTCTCCTCGACTTCAGTGGCCCACTGGGCCGCGGATTTGTTAGCGTGCAGCCTGCGACTTACCTGCAGAGCACAAAGGATTAAAAATTGCTTTGCGGCACGTAGTTGCGAGCCTTCGAGTTCCAACGAGAGCGAGAAGGCAGCCAATGAGCATCATTACCGTCCGAAAGAAATCGATGCTGCACTTTGATCTTTCACAGCTAGGAGCAGCAGGAGCGGAGAGCCATTGACTTTACGCTGCTTTCATTTCCAAAGTTGCAACCTGCGGCGTCTTGGTTGGTTCTTGGTCGCCATCATGCATCGAGATACTAGTTGTAAAGCACAAGGCAGCCCTCAGACGAGTTAGGCCCAGCATTCGGCATGACGTTGAACTAAAACGGATATAACCTTCTCAGCATGCTGCGTGGCATTTGCCTGATACAGACGCGGCCGCGACAAGTAAGTTTATTCAACAATCGTTCACTCTGTTTGGCCTTCGCCAGCTGCAGGCGCGCGGTACGCGAATTTTTTTGAACAAGCTGTGCTTTGAAATGAGTTGGCGTTTGGGTGGTTCGTGCTTCCGAGATCGGTAGGGCTGCAGAACAAATTTTACAGCAATCTGAAGACTGCACGGTCCCCCAGCGGTGGCTCCAAGATCGACTGGCCCTAGCCCTGCTGTGCAGAGGCTTCCGAGCATGGCGCCGACCAACCGAGCACAGATGAAGCAGAGGCACCTCAATTGGGCTGCTGCCTCAGAACGTGGCTCTTGCACAACTTGGGGGGGGAGACTTTGGAGTGTGTCAGCCGAAGTCGAGACCATCAGTGAGTCGTCGCTCTTACGGTGTGCTAGAGGTTTACAGGTCATGTTGCTGTTGGGTGTGCCGGCAGATGAGATCGCATGGTTGGGTGTAGAGCAGCTTGCAGAGCTGTGAAGATGCAGTCTTGAAAGTGCTTCACAGTTCGTCGCTTTGCCTGCAACGGAGAGCGAGGCCATCGCTTGTGACAAGGCTGGTGGGTGCTTACTGGCAGAATCTGTCGGCATGCTATGCTTCAGCTCTTGTTTGACTGCATCCGCTAGGGTTCTACATGGTGCTATTCTCTAATCGAGACTAAGCATGCAGTGCAGCCAACGAATTTTCGGCTGTGTCAACTTGCTCCTTGAAGCAGGTGGCACATCCCACCAGAACTGCGCAGATTGGCAGTGTTTGCATATGGTTTCCACTCCTCGAAAGCATCGAGCGCGTAGCATGATACGTTGTCCTCAATACCTGCATGCTGCCATCTCGCCATGCGGCACACGATAGTGACGATGCCCCACGCAGTTTGGTACTTGTAGATTCCGTGGTAAAGTGATTCTGGGACACAGTCTGGCAACAGTCCGGTCCAAACTCCAGCCCCCAGTGGTTGCGAGGAACGTGCCGTTCAGCTGGGCGAACTACCGCTCGAGCCACAGTCAGCAGCTTCCAAAAGTCTAGACAGCATTTTAGGAAAAGTACAACTAAGCCGCACGCTTGCTTTTATTCTCGCAGGTCGGGAGGTGGGGGCTGCCGGGTGGGATGTGCAAAACACTCCGCCGATACATGGCTCAAAGCTTTAGCTGGTGCAAGGCGGCAAGGCTCTGGCAGCCATTGGCCGCCCCGATAGTTACATGGCGACTGGATTGCAGGGAAGTGCAAACATTTTGCATAAGGCAGCTTGTGAAGCAGCCCAGGTGTTTTTCTTCACTTGCTCTGATCCGCGATATGTGTCGGACTCGGCACGGCTTTGTGCGGTTGGAGCGTCCCACGGAAGCTCTTTGAGCCCAGGTGGTTTACATGGGAAAGGACAAGTACGAGAATGAGGAGTTGTTGAAATATGGATTTCCAGAGGCAGGAATGCCAAGCTTGGCATCCTGGACATAGATAGCAGTCGATAGGCCTCTCTGCTCCACCAGGATATTTGGTTCCACGTTGATAAGCTGTCTTCAGCACACGTGTACGGGCCTCGGTGCTCTGAATCCACTTACAGCTTCCGAGCTTGCTGGGCCGCAATGCATCGCCTCCCGATTTCAGATATCTCCGTCTTCCGCCTGGCAGTCTGGATTTGTCTGGGGCCAACAAGGCCCTAACCCAGACAAGAAGCTGGTGGTGCTGATTCTGTACATGACTACGGCAGGGCAAGCCCGAAACCCCACCCACGTCGAAGATTCCAGTTCTCCTACTTCAGCTGTGTCCTCTCATTGAAGGCCGAAGCCAAGCAGAGGCTTGCCGCTTGCACTGCTTACGGGAGCCTTTCATAGAACGTCAAGTTGATGGAGGTTTTGGGCTCCGGGTGTGTTCGAAAATGCCGTAAGATACCATAGGCTGCTGGACGCGATCGCTTCAGTGCCGGAAGAGATCCTGATGGAGATGGCCCAGCTTACGAAGGAGAATTCCATCGAGGGTTGCAAGGCTTTGCTTAGGGTTGGAGCGTTGTCTCCCACCATGCTGTGAGGATCTGTGAGGCCTTGGCCGCGTGACGAGAAAGATAGCATGTGTGCGCAAGGCCGCTCAGTGCGATATAGTCTACACGCCATTCCTCAACTTGAAGAAGGAGGACCGCATGGAAGTCGGCCAGGTGGGATCCGTTGAATGTCGCAACAAGTAGTTTCTGAAATACATGTTCTTGGACCAGGTTGGCTTCAAGGACGAGTCCTTCCGAACCTTGATGAAGCATGTGGCCAAGGATTGATGCCCGCAAGCCCAGTTTCAAAAAGGTAGTCCGCTGCCTGAGCACGCAATGGGCATCCTCATATCACCCCAAACCCCTGTGACCTGCCGGGCTTGGCAGTCGGCAAATCTTGGATAGCGAAGTGGAGGACAAAGACATAGTCAAAAGGCTCGAGAAGACGAGGGTCGAGAAGACCGTCGACCTCGCAAAGGCGGCCCACCCCATGTTTGTGATATTACGTAGCAGGCCAAGCATGGCTTTGCAAGCCTCGTCTCTGCCAGGAGAAAGAGGAGCATGACAACGAGGAGAAAGCTAGAAGAAGAAAAGCTATCGAGGATCTGCATCTCTGAAAACAGTCCTCGATCCTGTCGAGATCTTTCCAGTTGCCCCTGACGAAGAAGCAACTTTCTTTGGAAGAGTAGGTTTCAGTTCTGCGAAGCTGGGACAGAGATCTGGCTCTATATTGCCTTAAGCCATATGATGTGCTCGCGATGAGCGACGTAGATACTTATCTGGGTTGTCCTTTGGGATCTTCCCCTACTGTTTCGTAGAGAACCATAATAGTAAATAATTTTCAACGGGCTGAAAGGACAACTCAGTTATTGGCTGGAGCCGTTTTGCAATCTCGTTTAAGCTCGAGATGCAGCAATGGCAAGGCACGAGTGCAATTCACACAGTCACGAGTTGCCCGTTGGTGGCGCCACCACCATGCCGAAAATCCTTTCCATTCTGAGCTCTAAGCGGAACGAGACATGCAACATCTTGGCAGTACATTAACCAAGACAGGAGCGGAAAAAGGCGGAGAAAGAGGAGACCAAGCGCCACCTCGAGGAGAAGGCCGCGGCATCTTCATGCGGTTGCCCTCTTTTGTAGAGGGCAGGGCGGCCTTCCCAGGCCTTCCTGCGCACTGCGCTGCAAGTCTGGCGGTGACTTGCGGGGCTGCAATGGGCTGCATTGCTCGCCGACTCACAGGAGCTCAAGAGCTACGCCGCGCTCCAGCACTTGGACAAGTCCTCAAATGTCGGCCCATTCCTCAGGCATTTGCTTATCAATTCACAGTCTCATTTTGCTACTCTCATGGCCCGCCCCATAATTCAACAATGGATTCTTACAGACACTCCGGCATTGCGCATGCTAAGGTGTTAGCAAGACGGGCTCGATTGAGGAGTGTCGGGAGATCGAGGATGATTTTATGTGAGGTCCACTTTTGTCAAGGTGCCGAAGCGCACGGGAGGCATACACGGGTTTTGCAAGCGCTCTTCTCAGCGCATGCAGTAGAGCGCCTTCCAGGTGTGTTAGTTCAACTTTTTGTTATATTTTGCGATCAGTGGCGGAATCTGGGCAAACAAGAACTGCAAAATGTCATACCAGGAGCGAATCTGCCATTGAATGTAAGCCGAAGTGCACGTGGTTGTACAGCCTCCACACCGCAGCCTCTCACCGTCTACAGATTTGAGCCGGCAAGGAGGGAAACACCCTCGTATGTGATTGCTGTTCACTGCTCGTCGGCTAGCCTTGCCTGTTATTCGCTGGGGCTGTCCCCGAGCGGCTTGGCCAGAGGAACTACGCACAATGTGACCGTTGCCAAGGCCAATTACCAGAGAAGTGCCGCAGATGGACATGACGAAGCTAGCCAGGGCTGAGCTGGCTGCCCGGTATGGCTTTCTGTGGCAACAGACTTTGCACATGCACTGATGTTCGGCATAACTCGTATTACGATACGCAAGATGAGTCAATGCGGTGCAGATGAAGAGAGCCGGCAAGATTCAAGCTGCACATGACAGTCATGACAGCAGGGGGATCTCGTGACAAATGAACTCTCGGAATGCGCAGCAGCCGCATGATTCAGGTATTTTCCTATTGGAGGTGGGCCATGACACGTTTTACAGCTCTCTCATTTCGTAGAACGCAAACTTGTCATGTCTCCGTCAAGAGCGACAGGGCGAAATGTAGTCAACAACAACTCCAGATCAGCTCCTTGGCAGTTACTGGAAGCTATCTCGCTGCTCGCGTGCTTGCTGGTTAGGACTTCGGCCAGACGGCTACACCGTACACGCACTACAGTTCAATCACTGCAAGATACGATCCAAGTGGCTTGACGTTCTGGTTAGGTGCAGAGTCAAAGAGACTATCGCATCGGTTTTCAACTGCAGCCTGCCGAGTCGATGCCGGAAGTGGGAATAAGCCGCAATCCTTCTGGCAAGTCGGTTTCGGGCCAAACAGCGTTGGCAGCTGGTTTCTACACCGGTTTGTTGCTCCTTTCTAAGGGCGACCCCCCAATCGTAGCCACGGCTTCGCCCGTCGTACATGAAATTTTGAATTTTGCAAATTAAAGCAGATGCACTTGGGAAAGAAGTAGTGTTTGTATGCAGACGAGCTGTCATGGTTTCTGCCTGTTGAGGCGATGGTCTCCATGGGAACCGGCTCCTGGGCTGGGTGGCCGACCCAGTGTTCGCTACCCTCCACCAGGCGACTGGTGACAAGCAGTGTGAAACTGTGCATGCATTATTAAACTATAGTGAACTCTATGTTGAACTACTGAGTGAAGAAGCCGAGGTCTGGTGGTCTCAGGAGCTTTGGGGTCGCTTGTTTCGTGGTTGAGATCCAAATTGCGTGCTCTGCAGACTTGGTGGCAAGGAGCACATACCGACAGTCCATTGGTGCACCCATGGGGCCGTTGATGTGCGGAGCTCTGTGCGAAATCGGTTTGACATGGGAATTGATCGAAGCTGCCAAGGCTAAACTTGGCTCGCGGGGGTGTTCCATCTCAAGTTGCCTTGCTGAAGGCCTGGGGTATGCATGGGATATGGCCGCCGCATACACCGAACCCTCGCCCAACCTGCGTGCACCCCTGCTTGTACGTGTCAGGTCCCTGCAGACTGCCTGCAGATCTTTCACAGCTTCATTTGCTGAAAGGTCCCGCCCGCCCTCCCCAGATGGAGTGGGTGAAGGTGCACGGATGTTTGACGGATGCAAGCACTATTATTGGACATCGGTTACAGCCCAAGGGCCCGGGCGGAAATTTTCCTGACAGGGACGGACCGGTGGGCATGCGCACAGCCTTCCTCAACAGCGGAAGAGTTTGCAGACAAAACTGCCCGCCCATGCCTCACATAGTATTTATGTAGGGTTTCAGGCCTTGAGCCAGCTGCATCGACCTCCGTTTCAGGCGTGCACTACGGGTAAAGCTGAGGATTACAGCATTTCGGCAGACCTGTGGCGGTGTCCATCGCATGCACATGACCCGCACTCCTCCTTGTGCCAGGACACAGAAGCTTTCTACAGCCTGCCCGAGTCTGCACCGCGCCTGCCCTCCGGGCATGCTTTGGGTTTGCGACAGAGAGTACGGAGCCAGAAGCGCAGAGAATGCAGAGAGTAGGACGAGCCATCGCCAGGCAGGCGTATGCGAGGCTCCGGACTGAGAAGAGGTTTTTCGCTGCCCTGCCTGTGTGACCCAGTTGCTTTGCAAGAATGCTTCTCCGGTGCTCCATGTGCACGGTACAGTAGTGCAGTATGTGCCGCCAAGGACCCTGTCAGCTTGAGCCTTAAGGGACAAAGGGTACAGCCTAAAAGCAATGTTTGTGTTTCCAGTTGTCGGTGACAGAAGACTACGCGATCTGTAGCCCGCATTCGCAAAGGCGCTTTTGTTGCGAATGAGGTACTGTGATGATGTTGTTGCAGTTCAATTCCTGGGCCTGACTTAGGCACCCTCACTGCGCTTGTGAGAGCCACAGTGCCGCGTGCAGGTGCTGTTACGCAGTAAATGTGTACTGTTTCACCACTGTCGGACGGATTGTCGTAGACAGCGTCTGCAGGAGCTCTGTGCTTTATTCAGAAAACCTGCAAAGTGATCCTGACCGCCACGTTCCAGCCTCATATTGACCTTCGAGCCAACTGTGGCCAACCTGCTGCTGCCCCTTCGATCATTGCCGTATGCTTGGCCTCATGCTTTGCGAGCCAATACCTTTACTGAAGTAGTGCAAACCAAGCTTGAGGGGAGGCAGGGTCCACGGACCCGAGGTTTCTACAGGCTCAGTCTACAGCGTTCCTACAGCTAGGCTTGTCGCGAGCCGCGACCATGACCGAAAACCTGGTAGCGCCAGTCATGCTTCCATATCCCGCAAAGTAGAAGCGGCGACAGAGTCTGCAAACACTGTACCCTTGTCGGCCCCACCGAAAGCTGGATCGACGCTGGATTCACACTCCCACAGTTTCCTGCTGATGAATGCTGCGGGCCACTTGCACTCCTCGGCGAGCCTGGGCCCGGGAAAGCTCAGCTTGCACTGAGCAGATGGCTGTTGAGATATTAGACATGTTCAGGGCATCGATCTCAAGGCAGTGGCAGCCTTGTTACTTGTTGCCAAGCAGCTCAGGTGATCACTCTGCAGGGCAATCTCTACCGTCCCATCTTCCTTCGCTTCGTAGGGACTATTGGGAACTCGAGTTGCCGTGCAGTGGTGCGCAGGGTGGAGTTGGATGAAAAAGCATCGGTTTTCCGTTGGCCGAGACTGAGACTTCTGCATCAGCAAGGCTGAGTGTGGTTTGATTCGTCCCGGACGACCGACAGGATGCCGCCATATGGCGAAGACCCTCACCAAGTGCTTGGAGTGCGCCCAGGTGCCTCTCACATCTGACCGGTACTTGTAGCTGGGAGAAACTCGGCCGACCCTGCTCCAATTGCAGGTGCCTCTGCCGCAGAGGTCCGAGCAGCATACCTCAAATCTGCGCTGCGTACGCATCCAGACCTGGCCAGTAGCCCCGCTGAGGCAGGAGACTTGTTTTGCAAACATGAAGTCAGATCTCAAGTTGGAGAACCAAGATTTTGCGTCAGAGGGGTAGTTTACCATGTCATATCATGTCATCCAGGCGGCCAAGCAAAGCGAGGCTTTCCGGCGAGTCGCAGAGGCGTATCAACAGCTCCGCACCCCTCGAGGAGCGAAGATGGGTTTGGTGTTGGCCATGGAAGAGCAGGTGAAAGGCTATTGCATGACAACTAACACGCTAGATGTTCAGGATCACAAGCATCGGTCGGCTCCGCTCCAAAGGAGGGCTGGCTCCGCTTCTGCCTCGTGCTTACAGTATCAATCTCGCCCCAATTGTCCAAGCAGCGAGTCTAGAGTCTAGACTAGGCATAAGCCTTGTTGACTCCTGAAGTCTCTTTTGCTCAACCTCCGGAAAGACTCGAGTCGAGGTTCCGTCAGCCAAGAGCAGGCGGAGAGACTTTTCCGCGACGCCTTCAACGGCCGGGGCTTGGACGAGATGCTTCAAGAGGAGCTTTGAAGGGGCACTGGTTGCCATTGGTTCGCCCTACGGATACCGCCAGCTTGCTTTGTGTCCGGCTGAGTTGCAGGAGTTGGGCAGAGTGGAGCTGAAGCTAGGAGTTCACGCTGCAGCTGTCCGCGAAGGCACTTTGGCGAGCGGCTAGGGCTGTCGTGACAGCCAGTGTTGACCAGAGCCTGGGATGGACCTCAAACAACAGCAGCAGCAACAGGAGGAAAGCATGCAAACAGATGCCTAGGACAGATGCGTATGTGTTAGTAACTGTTAGTACAAAGTCGTTGTGCGGTGGTGGTTGTCGTCGTGGAGGCTGACATAAGCAACCGAAGCTGTCGTTGTCATGGCCGTTGCACACTAATTAGTGGGAATTGCAGGCCACGAAGCCCACGCAAGGCTTTGGTCACCTTGAGTGGTTTTGCAATACACTACCAAGGCATTCTTGCTCGACTTCTCCGCTCCGCGCAGGCAGCTTCACGGCTGCCTTTGCCCCAAGAGGCCCGCAAAGTTGGGTGGGTGGCTGCCCGGCTGCCTGCACCCATTGGGAACCAATCTTGCGTTGCCTTGCATCAGTTCGACAGGTGACCGACAAGCCGCGTCCGGAAGAGAACTGGCCACGACTGGATGTCCAGAGGGAGCCCTTCGTGGGCAGCGATGGGCACAAGTGGGTGCGCATCTAATCCATAACCAGTATGTGCGGTTCTGGGACACAGGCACGTTCGGAGCATTCTTGCCCCTTGGTAAATGGACAGTTGGCACTTATTCGGAAGCTCGTGGAGCAATGTGCGCAAATACTTACAGGCAATATTCTGGCTGGAGGACTGAGGTTATTGTAGCTGGAAGTCAAAGCCTCGCAAAACTAACTACTCGAATAAAGTGTGGGGCTTACGCAATGTCTTGTGGCAGCAATGGGAGCAAGGAATCGGAGTCGCTGTATCCATCCAAGGCATCTACACCACGACTCGATGGCCAAATGGAAGGAAGGAGGTGGTCAGTCCTGCGCCCGAAAGCACGTGTGAAAGCATGCAGTTGCAAAGCTGGCAGGAGCACGTCCTGGAGAAGCCTGTGTACAGAATGTGATGCAATTGGGCTTCGACATGCTTCAATCCTCCTGCCCTGCATGAACATGTGAAGCAGCTGCTCGTTGAAACCACTTCTGCGTTGCCGTGGGGCAGGCGACACAAGAAGCCACAGTGCTGATTGATCTGTGTTTGTGATTGTCGGCAACATCCTGCGTGCAAGCTTTGCACCCTGCTCCGCTGCAACTCATGCGAAGCGTATCTGTTTATCCTGTTAACTTGGAAGGCATCCAACAGACATACCTATGCATCTCTGAAAGCTGGCAGCAGAGCCCCGCAGTGGCCATCAGTGGATGGAGAAATATCGAAATAGACAGAATGTTAGAGCAGTCCACCCGACCTCTGAATTTATAGTCCGTGTTGCAAGATTCACACAGACTCATACCCGTCTTCGAAGCAACCACGATCGGGAATTGTGGGGGTGAGAGTGCCTGCCCAAGCTGCTTGAGCCAGGCGCCTGCCCTGCCTTCCTGCGTGGTTGAAGCTTTTTTTGTTTCGTAATGCTCCAGGGCCCAGGCCAATGACCATTGCACCCAAAAGTGCCCCTTCACGCCCCCACAAGCTTTCGCTCGGGCCTTAGCGGATTTGGAGAGTCTGCTTTCAGAGTAAACAGCTTCCATTCCGTAAGGCCTGCCGAGTGCAAAGCATGGATCCAGGCCTGAAGTGGGTGCCACATCGCCTCAAGCAGATTGGAGCAGTGCAAACACAATAACACACTGGTGTTATTCCATGAATGTGGTGGGGTTCAACATCCTGCCCAAAGTACCGCATGGGTCGCGTTATGTATTTATTTTTCTCTGCAGGCAGTTGCAGGAGACTGGCAGGCTTTGGGAAAAGCGCCGGGTTCTTTGCTCCAGCTTCGGAGTGCGAAGTGCGCAGCAGTGCAACAAGCAAGGCCCTTGGCAGTGCGAATGGACCCTCGGCTGGGTGTCGCCGCTAGACACTGAGCCGCGAAGGACATTAATGCGCTAAATTTGTGGTGTCAATGTTGAGCTGCAGTTGCTTATCAATCGGCCGCAGCATAGCTATCCTGAGGCAGTGAAGCAGGACTGGCGAGCAGGGTGCCCAGATCCTCCAAGAAATATTTCTGTTTATGGAGCTTCTTGCAGTTGCGGTGTTCGGAAACTAGCTACCAATCCTGGCTGTTGAAATGGTCTCTGCTGCCGGATTTTCTGCAAGCGCGGGAGCTGCATCGTTGAAGACTCGGCACGCCTTTGCATTCCCTTGGTCCCTTGGCAGGCAATCCAGTTCGCGGGCGAAAATTTACGAGCAGATAAAAGCTTCATGTTGCAGGCCTTGGGATGTCGATTTTGGCTGATAATGATTGTCTGTGAAGGTGACCATCTTGTGCGGAAAGTTGCAAAAGTGTTGCATCCCTTTGTCGGCGGGAGCGCTGGAAAACTTGCCACATCTCGCCAGAGAGATGAGCTAGGTTCGGAGAGCTTCGAATATTGCGAACACGGAGTCTTCTTTCTGGTTCTTGCCCTACGTCTGAAGCTCACATTCGAAGAGCCACGACGTGGATACCGAACCATCTCCGCAACTGCAAGTGCTGCAGCGAAGCTGGAAACGTTGCAAAAACGCACGGTGAGAGCTCTCCATCGCGGAGAGGCCTTGCAATATTCCGGCTTCGCGTTGCAGTTCGCCTCCCAAGCTCTGCGATGCGATCGTGAGGCTCAGGGGACGGGCCCGGATCCTGTCAAACTTGTTGGAGTTGGACGAGCGGTTTTGCCCCGCAGGTCGTACTGGAGGCAGTTCGCAAGGACTGTTTCCCATTCTTCCGTAGTGGTCGGCTTCTGCTCGGGACAGCAACGTGCTTACGCCGTCATGCCCGCATCTGTGGTGACTGTACTGTACTCTCAGGAAGGGATACCGCAAATTCAAGTCGCTGCATACACTCGTGTATCACCGGATAGCGGCCCATAAAAGATGCAGCACAATTGACCGAATGTTAATGTGCCCACAGCAGTCTGCAGGACGGATGCTCGATCCGGCATGCCTTCTACCAAGCCTTCAGGGAGGAGTTCGATATCGTCAAAGAGGCCCAGGACTTTGACACAGCGAGGTTTGCTGGCAAAGCAATCCAGTTGGCGCAGAGTCCATGCAGGCGGTTGCCAACGACTGGCGGGCACTGCAGTTCGCATCCAGCGAGATGAAGAAAAACAAAGAGATAGGCCTTCCGCATCCGCTCTCAGATTTGCCGCCGCACAAAATGCCACCTGTGCAGCACTCGTCGCCATTGAGCAGAGCTGGGAAGCGGTGCGATTCATCGACGAGGTTCCTTTGACCGCATGGTGTGAGTCCAGATCGTTCCGCTGAGCCATTTCCGGAAATCTTGTGGTTTTACCTTCTGAGCCGTTCACTGACACTGAGTTCGCACTCCAAAGAAACTCTTGAATGAACTGCATCTTGTCCACAGTACCTGGATCATTTTGGCTGTGTAGAAAGGAGCTACAGGGGGATTATGCCATCATGGATGCGGCAGTTTCGCAGCATGGAGAGGCTGGCTAGCCAGAGCTTGCAAGCTGCAAGCGGCACTCGCAGTCTGCTTCCACAGTTGACGGGTCAGCGGAGCAGCTCGAGGCGCTCCGGTTTGCCAGCGAAACGCTGCGCGCGAACCCGGTGCTGGAAGTGAACTTAGCGCCTCAGGTTTTGGCAAAGCAGTCAATTGTCATTGCTGGCTGTCTTAGTTTGCAAAACCTCCTCGGTCCTCGGTCAGGTCAGAAAAGCAGCAGAGAATGGCTGGCAGGTCGGCAGCCTGTGCTTTACTGTGCTTGGTCTCTACCCGGAGTCTTGCGAGGTTGTGGCTGAGGGAAACGAAATAGTCCTCCAGTCGCGAGCACAGCAATCCGGTCCCGTAACGGGGCCTCATCGTTCATTCACATGGCCTGCTAAAGGTGAAAGAAACCAGGAGCGAAAGTGTTGCCACCCTTCATTCAGCCCAGGCTGAGAACCGAAGGGCTGACCTGGGCGCCGCGGCCTGTTCGCAACCCGTAGCCTTTGTCCCTGCACCAACTTGTCAATACAACTCAGCGGAAAGCTCGCGAACCCACCTTAGACCGACTATGTGACTTGTGCGATTATGATTAGACAGGTATTATGCTTCGCCTGGCAGCCTGCAAATGCATGATGCTGGCGGCATTCTTGTTTGTCAGGTAGTCTGGACCCAGCTTTGGGAATGGATTAGTTGGTCACGAGGGCCAATGCACACGTGATTGCAACATGTCTCTATGGTTCGATGCCGCAAGACAGTCTGAAGATTCGCAAATGGCCGTGGTGCGGCGGACTTAAGGGAATGGTGGCAAGGCCCCGGACCTGGACCTAGTACCCTAGTATGCCTTTAAGGCAGCCACGGTACCGCATCTTTTCAAGCCATGCCGAAGGCATGACAATCTGTAGCATCGGTACCGGCACCGTTAGAAATGAGCTGCAGGCTTCAAGATCAAGGGGTCCGTGTTGCTTTCAGGTGGGAGTTTGGTGGACACTCACTTGAGAAGAGGGTCAGTCCCCGAATCATCTATCAAATATACAGTAAGAGATACCGTGCATACATAATGTCCCACACCCCACACCCGCCGTGCATCTAAAGGATCCGAATAGTGCGAGGAGGACGTTTATCGGATCCTCGGTGGATGTTGTGTGGTCGTGGTCTGGGTTCGCGGCGCAGAAGAGCACGGCACTCCCCAACTGAGAAGGCCGCTGTGCCTGGAACGTGGTTAGGGTGTGATTTTGTGTCGCTGCCTTTGGCTCCGCCACATTTGCTTTCGCACAGAGTAGACCTCACCAACCGGGCGCCAGCTGCACTTGGAGGCTCGCTTCGGGCAAACAGGGCCTGAGAACGGGAAGACTTGAGCAGGCACTTGTTCCGAATACTCCTTGCCATGAGATGCTGACCTGCTGCAGGCATGGAGCCCAGTCAAGAGGAGCCCAGGGCCTCCGTTCGACGAGGCCTTCTATCTCAGGTATTCAGCAACAGAACCTAGTTGACATTGCTTCTCACCGGTAGTCCTGCGACGAGCTCACGAACAACGAGATCTTCTGCCTAGCCCATCACCCCACCACCATTCCGAAACCCTGCTCGACTTCAAGCACCCGCCAAGCAACATGAGTTGCACCCCGAGCCAGGAGTGATCAGGGTCGTGCTCGGGCTTGCAACTGTTGCGGCCCTGCTTGGCCTTGCCACTTGGAGTTCAACTGTTTGCGGCCAGGGCTGGTGCGAGACTGGAGGCCCAGAAACCCACGCACTGGCCTTTGACTGCGACCCTCAGGACAATTCCAATTTTCTGGGTGAGATACCTTTTCGTGTGCTGAACGTACTGGAACTATTCCTGCATACTCCTCGCCGAACCTTTGAAGATGCCTTGGGCTGAGGCAGCGAGGCTTGCGGCCACAGAATCTGTGTACCTTGGCTCAGAGTTTAACGCCTTCCGGAAAGATTGGAACCCAACTGATCTTTTTTTGACATCATCATAGCTTAGAGTTTGAGCTTTAGATAGGCCCTCGTAAGGAGCAGCCTAGGCCAAAATGTCTGAAAATTCCGTTAGTTTGGTAATCTTGAGCTGGTTGGGTTGAAGGTTCGGAGTGGTACGACAGAGAGGGGCGATTGAAAGTGGCTCGACTCAGCCAGACCTGAGCCCAGTGGGAAACAGGGTTCAATGTGCAGCATCACGTGTAAATTCCATAGGCGCAGCAAGTTCATTGCTTTGTGCTTAAGCGGCCGTGCTGCGGATGCCGCAGCGCACAGTATGCCAAGGCTGTGGGCTCCGGAGAAGGTTGAGGGCCGCCGGTTGCGGGCCAGCACAGCCTCGGAGGAGGTGCGATGTGCTGATCGTGGGATTCTGCTGTGAAATGAGCCAGGTCTAGCCAGGTGCAAGGGACGAGAGATCCTGATAGAGACCCTTGAATCTTGTGAATTCCTCCTGCGGTCGCTTTTGCTTTTCCCTGTTCAGGACCCAGTTTGGGGCTGCGGGCTTTTGGGGAAGATCCCTGGCATCTCTGAGAGCGGAGCATCGAAAGACACGCAAAAGTTCATCAACGCGCTGAAGAAAAGCAGCTCCTTTAACAAGGCCCGGGGCGAGAGGACAGCACGAGAGGGGGGGATCCCGGGGATCCTGCTGTTGTCTGTCATTTTCATGGTGGTTGGCGATTTTCAGGCGGCGGCGCAAGCTGCTGCTGTTGCTGCTGCTGCTACCGCCACCGTCACCACCACCGCTACCGCCACCGCCACTGCCACTGCCACCGCTGCTATTACGACTACTGTTACTACTGCTGCGACGACGACGACTACTACTACGACTGTACAGCAACGCTACGACTACTCCACAGGAACAGGCCGAGAACTACTTGTAGTGCTGTACAGCAGCAGGGGGAGGATTTGCCATGCCAGAACCTCAGGCTACGTCGGTTTAATCAAAGCCAACCCAAACCAAGCGAAACCATTTTGATTGAGAGCTCGTTTTGTCACTGAAGAGTAAGAGAACCTATCTAGTGGAAAAGCCATTGTCTAATAAGAAAGCCCTACCAGACAAGAGGCCCTAACCAACAGGAGCGCGCTACCCCACCTAATAGGAAAGCCCTGTCTAACAGAAAACTCTGCCCTGCTGCCCTGTGTTTTTTGTTTTTAGAAGCACCCTATATCGAACAGAAAAACTCATCTAACAAGACACCTTGTGCAACGGACCACCCTATGTGACGGAAAACCGTCTGCCTTTGACCCTATCTAAACAAGGAGCGCTGAAGCGGCTGAGAAGGACAGTTGGAGGGGTCGACAGGACAGATGGAGGGATCAAAAGGAGTGAGTCAGTCAGCATCGACCGAGGCATGTGTCTGGCCGAACACACATGGATGGCCTAACAAATTGGCGACACCTCCCGCGCAAAGGCTTCAAGTGTCAGCCACTAAAACACAACTTAACGACGACGCAACACGATGCAATGACGAAAAGGCCCCGATGAAGCGGGAGGGCGTGTTTACTCCCGAACAAGGGGAACACGAGGCAGGCCCGCCACCTGCACCCACCCACCGAGCAGAGTACTGCTCAGCGGGCCGACATAAGTGCAAGACACTTTGCCATCTTTGCCATGGCTTCGTTCATTGCGGCACTTCAGGGTACTGGTAACTAAGCCTAGCAAATACCGTCACCTGCGCCCGGAACGGCAAGCATGCTTCTCCGCAGATCCCTCTGCGGATACTATAAGTGCCCAACCCGACACGCACCGGATCTGCTCGCATCACGGCGTCATCAGTGCCTCATCCACCTTCACCACTCCAGCACACGAGGGGCCACCTCTACCAACTCAGTGTGCCCTCCGAGTAGTGGGAAGAAGCCCAACACTGCGGGCAATCTCCCACCAAAAAGGACTAGGGATCAAAAGGGAAATTGAGGGGGTCACAGGAGCAAGCGCTTCTTCTTCCTCTTACCACTACTACTACTACTACTACTACTACTACTACTACTACTACTACTACTACTACTGCTACTACTACTGCTACTGCTACTGCTACTACTACTACTACTACTACGACTACTACTACTACTACTACTACTACTACTACTACTACTACTACGACTAAGACTACGACTACGACGACTACGACGACGACTACTACTGCTGCGACTACCACTGCCACGGTTATCACTACTACCGCGCAGCGGCTACTACTGCTACTGCTCCCGCTACTGCTGCTGATGCTGACGCAGAACCATGGTCCGGACGAGAGCCACACCCTGTGCAAGGTGATGTTCTGGAACTGGAACCTGGCTCCTGAGGAACCCCTCACCGAAGACTTCATCTTCATGCCGGAAGTTTGGGGGTCTGGTGTGGTGAACGAGGAGTGGGTGCGCCAAGCGGACACGACGAATTTCCTGGACAGCCACGGGAAGCAATCTCCGGCCACGATGGCGAACCTCATGATGGGCATGAACGAGCCCGATATTCAGGGAAGCTGCATGGGCAATATGTTTGGTAGGTGCGTCAAGCACCCTGGCAGCACGGGGAGGGCCGGGAGTTCGGCAAGTAATGGCGACACTCCTGAGCCTCCTCCTCCTCCTCCTGAGGCCATGTGATGATGCCGCTGTGCACGGCAATGATTGCCCAAAGGCCGACATTCCTCTGCAGAGAGATCTGCTGTTTGCTCACGACGTGCACTGCTTCCTGTCTTCGGCACGTTGGGGTTCTCTTGCCCGTCCCTGCTTGGGAAACAAGCTCATGCGATTCAACATCAGCGCCAGTAAAGCCGGATTCTTCCAGCTGAGGAGCTGGATGTCAATCTCCCTCCTGCGAATGCTAATTCTCGAGGTATGTGTGCCTTTGCCGCAGCTTGAAATTGCGCGAGTCAATACTGCGTCGAAACTTGTCGATCCTTACGTTTCACCAGGAAGGCAAGTCGATTGCCAGAACAAAGGCAACTGCTGGGAGAGCGCCTACGCCACAGGGGTTGGCTTCTGGCCCGTGGGCGGCTGTTCGGCGTTGCAGCCCCTGCCGGAGCTCTGGGAGCAAGAGCCGTTTCTTGGTTTGCGGCTGCAGGGTCGTTCTCATTCTAAGACTCCTGTTTTGTGGAAGAAGTTAAGTAGACTGGTAAACAGGCTCGCAGCCACGGGGTTATCATAAGCCTACTGAGGGGCTGTATCAACACCGTCATGGCAAACTGGAAGAAAACAGCTGCGATCGCTGTCAACAAGGGCTACAAGTACCTGTCCACCCCTCTGCTGGCGGCGCCTTGGACTTCCTGAAAGTTCGGTACTGCTTGGATTCCTTGGCTATTCGCGGACTTCTGACCACTTCGAGGCAGAAAGAGGACAGAATTGGGAGGGGGTTGTTTGAGTTCTGGTGCTAAGGTATACGTGAGCTATGCACAAAAGTTCATTGAATATGCCTGCGACTGCCATGATGGCGCGTCTTGGCAGCAGCCAGCTCTCGAGTACATCACACGACAGAGTCCACCTCATGCTGCTGTTCCGTCATGTTCCGTCAGTGCCTAAGGTTTGCGGCTGCACAGATGCGAGCTGTGGCTGTCCGGTATATGTTGCTTGGAAGTGTTTGGCTTGCGGGGCTGTCAACAAAGACCAAGGATTCGACGAAGCTTTACTTGGCCCTGGAACATGACTCCGAGATACACGAACCCAGACCCAGTACTAGCGATGCATGGGATGCGAGAAGAGGCTGTGAGCACGTCGTCAATTCGATTTCTTCTTTGCAGTTTGCATGCACGGGGGACCGATGTTTGGGTCAAACTGAGGTTGGGCTTCATTTCTATGCCTTCGACTGCCGACCGGTGTCCACATCTGCTTATTACAACTTCCAGGCCGACACTGCAAAAGGTGCAGGTGTTTCCGGTGCATCCTATGGTCCGCCTGAGTCTGCAATTGAAACATCTATCATCGACGTTGTGCCGTCGGTTGTGCCGTGCGAGAAGACTTGCAGCTTCACATGCCGACATCGGGTGAGCGACCAAAAAGGTCTCAGCCGAAAGCGCTCAACTGGTACGTTCAGATTGAACCAAAGCCATAGCGAGGCTGTGCTAGGTGCTAGTCAGGATCTTGGCTTTCGCTCACGGTGGTTTTGAACATTCTTGAGCCTGACAGAATTCAATGTCAGGCACGGGTGCAAGACATCGCGGAGCTCATGGAGATTCCCAGTTGCACACGCCTTTCGAATTTCTTGCAAGAAGCACGTCGCAGGCCTTTGCAGGCGAAAGATCCAAGAAGGAAGGGGGTTCTGGGATGCGGGGAAACTTTAAGTGCAGACCGAGCGTGAGTGTCACAAGCTTGTGATAACACGCAGAAGCAAGTAGAGAAGCGTGCGATGCTCAAATTACTGGACCGCACTCGGTGAGTGCCAAGCGGACGGTGTTTATTTGGAACAGGTCCGCGTTTCGTTGATAGTACGACGACAAGGTAGCCTGCGCCCTTTCCAACCGTGCATTCTGCTAGTCAGTCACCACCGGAGATTTGACCTAAAACCGGCTGAACCTGGCCCGGATCGAACGGGTCCTGAGCACTTTTCTCAACCTGCGTGGACGTGGCTGCCGCCAGAGGGATGTTTAAGTCCCACCTTCCTGTAGAAAATGTCCTAAGCCATCATACCTCGATGTCGTAAGCTGGACTTTTCACGGACCATCGACAAGAGGCTTTGGAGTTCAATGGGATTTCACATGGAAAGAAACATGCCACAGTGCGAAGAGCTTCCAAGCATTGGATCTTGCGAGTGCTTTCTGTCCTCGGACATCGCAGGGCCACGTGCACGGGAGCGGCTGTGGGTGCTGAAGTGATTATGACCTTCAGTTCATCGTAGTGTGCTGCGAGGGCAGATGGGAAGGAACCAACGCGTCTTTGGATTTGTGCTGAAATGTGCGTTCTGGAGCTGGAAAATTTCTGGAATTTAGGAACTGAGTTAAAGGGTGGGGTGCTCAAGTGAAGGGTTTAGAGTTGTGGCTAGGCTTGAGTCCAGTGCCAGACAGGGTTGTGACACTCATCCGGCGTGTGCAGAAAAACAAACGGACGTGCTGCCTCCAGCTCAGGAAGTATCCCTTTATTAAAGGCGCCATCGTCAACGAGGCACACCAGTCGTCTGGACATTTCGCAAACCTGACGTAAACTGCTAAAACCGATTCCAACACCCCGGAATCGGCTGTCCAGGTAGGGATGCTAAACTGCGCCGGTCCGACGGAAGATGATCCAATTTGCGTCCCCGACTCGGGCCAGTTCCCTGCAAAGGACGATCCCCACTTCAGCCGCTTGGACAACAGAGAGTTCTGCAACAAGCCGATGTGATCGGCCGAAGCATGCCCTGCTGCAGGTCGACCCTGTTTCATCTGTTTTTGCGGACATGAGCGGGTCAGTTCAGCATCGCCTTAGTGGTTTTCTCTGCTTTTTATTTAGGATGATGACACGGACAGCGGTTCGCCGCCGAAGTTGCTCACATTTCGGCCCTCAGCCAAACTGCAGCACAGGTTGCCCTCAGAATGAAGAGCTGCCCAACGGCCTGGCCTCATTTGTGACGAGAATACTGGAGCCGCTTTTTCGAACAGTGACGTACTGACCGACTGACTGGAAAGGCTTGGTTTGTCGGTAAAGCTTCGCTGGCTTTTCAAAGGACTTTCTCTAGCATGCCATGGAACATCGGCGTGTGTGGTAAGGTCACAGTTACAAGGTAGCAGAAGCAGCGTGTCATGAGCACCGAGGATAGCTCTTAGCGTCAAAACGAGCGATGGCCGACCTGTGGTGAAGAGCTTCGCTTGGTTTAACCAAGATCGAGAGGGAGGCGGGAAGATCGACATGACTGCGAGCATGCCCTTTGTATCCCTTTGTACCCTAAAGCCTGACTTATGGTCGCAAGCAAGTTTGGACAATGCTACATTGCGCTTAGACTTCTTCAACTCAAGTACCGCGAAAAATGGCAATGTACTGTCGAATATACTGACGCCCTGATGCCAGAACCGTTGAGTAGTTCCTTGCCGCCGCAGATGCCGAAGGCAGATTCTCACGGATGCAGCTACAGAACCGCCCGTTAACACAAAGGTAGAAGATGAAAGAATAGGGAGAAGGCCAAATCAGACAAGTCCACAGAACTCATATTCGCTTGATGCTGATGTCTTGCAACTGGCTGCTTTCCGAAACTAGACCTTACCATCCTTCGCCTGTCCAGTCCTCGGCTCTGAGTTTATTGATGGTGCATCGATCCTTACTTCCACGGTTCCGTTTCTGCGGCATCGCTCCTTCAAGGCACGTACAATCTGCGCTTGTTCAACGACGATGGCAAAGTAAATGCAGCGGGCGAAGCGCTTCCTGACTGATATTCGGGTTGGACCCACTCCCTGCTTCGCCCACTCTCACCACCTCCTCAAGAATCGTGCGCGTGAATGTGAAGTCGTGGGCGCCCAAGGTATATGGAGGTCTGCAAAAAGTGGAAGCAGCTGGCAAAATAAGGCAACAATAATTCGTGCAATGCAGCTGCAAAGTTTGCACTATGCCCCGTTAGTCTTGGTGCAGAAAAAGCTTGTGGTGCTGCTGGAAGATAAGCACACCAAGAAAGAAGTTTCACGAAGTGAGAGAGGCCATGTTCTTCACATGCCTCTTCCTTCACTTTCAGCGCATGCGCCCCTTGGCACAAGGCCAGGGCCAAATTCGACTAGCGATTCCATAGATGTCGTAGACATAGGAGTACACAACACTCCGCTCCCTTCCTCGATGTCTGCCTTGCCGTTGGTGCTTCGAAGCAGTTGCCCAACGCTACAGGCTTCACGCCCAGCTGCGAGCGCAGCTCGGTGTCAAGCCCATATTGCGCAGCTTTTCGTGCAAGTGCTACCCAACAACATTCCAATCCACGGCAGCCGGAGATTCGTGCAGTTTGCAAGGAACCCCTCGACAGCAAAACCACAGAGACCACCCCTCGCAGAAAGCTGTGCTCCTTGGAAGCGATTTTGCGATGCCTAGGCCAGGCAACTGGGGCCCGCTTGACGTGCCAGAAACATTCCACACCAGTGTCGGCCAGACATCTTCCGTGCGAAGTTGCTGCGATGTGACCGACATGAAACCCGAGACGCTCGTGAAGAGCCGGAGGACTTGCCCGCAGCCGCGAGAGTAGATAAAAAATGATAAAAGCATGTCATGCAGAGTCCTGCAACAATGATGACAGCGTTAGTTCCGTGCTACAATTTTTTCCATATCAGCCCCATCAGTAGTGGCGGAGCCTGCTGGCGAGCACTTTGCCACTCGTTTGAGCCCGGAGCCTCAATGACTAGGTCCCGTGCTGGGTCGTGCGATCAGCTCGGGGGAGCTCATGGTGTCTTGGCTTTGCCGTCGCGCGATTCCTATCAAGCAAGGGGTGGCATGACTCTGAGAAGCAGGCGCTCGGATGTAGGATGATCTAGTCCAGTCTTTTGAGATACGTGACAGGTGCTATCTCATATGCAGCGAACCGAGCCTGCAGCGTAGCAGCATCGGCCCCCGAAGCTAGCAGCCATGTTCCTTTATCAAAGTGAGTCCGAAGAGGAAGAGTGAGAAGCTCAGAAGTCAGGGTGTGAGATTGCCCAAGCCTCAAAACCATCATGCCAGTGCGGGGCTTCGCTAGCCTGAGGTACGTGCCGGCAGTCATGCGCCGGCCCAAGGCGAGGCCGAGCGTTTGCTTCGGATGGGCTGATGCTGCTTTGCTCCTTCGGTTGGCGGCTCCTGGAGTCCCGAAGCGAAAGGCCGCGCTGAAACTGGTTTTGAAAAGGTGGCGAACCACACCATTCACGAGAGCTTCACGGCGGACACTCGTGACCACGAGGATCACACATTCTGTGGCGTCATGCTGGAAGCCCAGAAGTTTCAGCACGTCGTGATGGCTTGGAGCACACAGGAACAGCGAATCCCGAAAGCTGGATGCACTAGTTGATTCTGACCTACTGGCCCCACCTGCCTTTGGACAAGGTAAACATGAACAGCGCCGCTTGCCTCACTAGTTGTCCCGGACTGGCTTAAGCAGGGCAAGTGGCAGCCAAGATTGAATCGAGCGCGGCATTACTTGCCAGGTGATTCCCATTCCACCGAATCAGTTTTGTTGCCGCTGTATCCAAAAAGCGCACACCCTTCCAGAATGTAATTCGGACCGTAGTTGGCTTGTTCCGCGACTCTGCGAGAAGAGGCATCCTCCCACTTGGGCTTGCCAGATTCTGGAAGGAGCCAAACCAACACCCAATGGTCTGATTTGCCCGTAGACATGTTGATGCTGGTTTTCAGTGATACCTCGAATGAACTGGGCAGGGAGGTCGTAGAAAGATACGGTCGTGCTGGCCGTACTCCTTCACTTGTTTGTATTGAGTTCGTGGTAGTCTCTTGAATTCTGCTGATCTTCGTTTTGTGTTCCTTGACATTGACATGCCTGGTGCATTCGATGCAGAATGGCATCAATCAGCCAAGGAATCAACAAGCAGTTGACTGCTAGATTGCCAGCGTTTCGACACAAACCATGACCATCCACATCCAAAGTGGTGACCCTCTAAAGAATGCATTCCCATTCTTGGCCGTCCTCGTTGGTTTCACTTTCGGTGAGCTCATTTCTGTGTCCGCCTTCCCTCTCTCATCCCCTCCAATGCAATAGCAGCGAAAGACAACTGAAGCCGAATCTGCGTGCTTGTGATTGAGACTTGTGCACTTGGACACCTGATCTGGGGCAAGCAGCAGGCTAAGTGCTGGGACAAACCCAGCAGCAAGTCCAAGTTTGCATACACGATGTATGCTCTCTGTCTGGTCCACCAGGTTCGACATCCAATGCAAGGGTCAGGAAGACGGTGCCGTGCGCTTGCAGCTCCGGGCTCTTTCTGCTGGGGCTTTTGGTTGCAGCCTACGCGATTTCATCATGCTTTTGTAGAACAAGTTCTTTGGCCATGGCTTGACCGATTGCTTGTCCGAGCTTGCCTTGGAGGTACCTGTTGAGTTTATGCTCATCACCTGCCTGGCAGCCCCTGCCTTTGATGGATTTGATGGAGAAGCAGCACAGAGATGATCTCAAGAAGTGGGCGCCGAAAGTTCCGTCAGTCAGACGAGTTGCGATGCTTCGACATGATTGGATTCCAGCTCTTTCTCACAAGAGTCTCCTCTCACCGAGGTTCGAGGGGACCTTGGACCCATGACTGCTCGGAACCCAGATGTGCTCTCAGCCTTAGGTTGGGTCTTTGAGGCGTGCTGCGAAAATCTGCAAAACATTTCCAAATCCCAGGCCGGCGAACTCTGATAAGCCCGCTAGTCACAGAACGTATCAGCGAGTGATGTTCGAGTTTCCACCGCAGAACCGCAATGGCCCCTTGAAAAGAGAGACAGCCGAACAAGGTTTGGACTACGCCTGGCTCCTACAAAAAGAAGGCTTGTCTTCCGTGGCCATGCCCGCTACATAGAATGTACTACCTTTACGTGGTGGTCCTGACCGAATGGTTTGGGCCACATACAGCCCATGTGACAGCAATGCCCGAAGTCACATGTGGTTGCTACAGTACTCACTTGCTTCGTGTGCTGCAGCGTGGCGGCGGGATTCCATCCTTGTGAGGAGCATGCCAAAGAGAAATGGGTCCGGCAGCCCAGTCTCAGAAGAGACCTGAAGACTTTCAACGAGTGCAGTCCGTGTCCGGTCAGCTCAGTGCTCCCCTGCCCAAGGAATGTATTTACGAAGCTGAGCATACTCCATCGCGCCAGGCTGGCCTTCCAAGAACTGAGCCATCCCACGAATCCCGAACGATCCATTGAGTGCTTGGCAGAACTACGAACCACTCAACCTCGTGAGCCCCATCCGCTTGCAGCCAGGAGCCATCCGTTGCACAAACAAGTAGGCTACTTAGCCATGCACAACTTCGGAAGGCCGAGACTTGGGGACCGGCAGAGGTAATAGCCCGCCCAGTCACTTTGCAGCTTTCTTACATGGGGTGGAAGGGTGTACCATAGAGTGTTGCGGTAGGCCTGGTCAGCAATGAACCGCGAAGGTGACTTGATCAAGCCGAAGCCAGCCAATTGCCTGGTAGCAGCCAGCTGCCCCAGGAGAGAGTTGCGGCGTCTACGCCCGCGCCTGGAAGACTCGCACGCAAGCACGTATTCATCTGGCATACGTTTTCCTTTCTTGGCTGCGCACTGAACATTGAATGCTTCGAGTCAGGTCCACTCACAGCTTGCGGGCGATGATGCGCTAGTGCTTGGGTCTCAACTTTTAAGCAATCAAGCAGCGCATCTCATGCATCAAACCGGCCGAGGTATGACAATCAGAGAGCTTCTGTCACACACGAGGCCTGGTAAGAGCACTTGGCGACCGTGTGGCCAGTCGCAGTCGCTGTGCAGGATGCTATCTTGAAGGTGCTGCCCGGTCGAGAACCCAGGACCTACGATCAGCAGTTTCAGAAGAGCAACCAGGATACGATTCAATTCATCATTGTGCCCTCAGAAGTTCTGATGAAGGCTGCAAGGATGGCTGCAATAAAAGGACCCCCGGTTCCCACTAAGGCCAGGCCCATCTGTCAAATCGGCCTTTCGGCAGACATGGGATGCCACGGCCTTGGCTACTCGCATGCGTGGCCAACCACATGAAAAGCTACAAGCAGTAGTGCCGTCGCCGAATGGTGTATTCGTCGAGTGACTGTTGCCTCGCATGCAGCGTACTGAGCTTTCAATGCAGCCAAGGTGGGGCTTTCCCTGGCGAGAGCGCCGAGAATTTGTAGGCGCAAGCACTGTTGAGCCCAGCCACGCAGAAATTAATCAGACAACACTGTGCAGGAAGAGGGCACATTCAGGTAGGAGGGGTCTGCACCCATCACTCAAGCACGCGACAGGGTCGTGCATGACATTGATCTTTGCCACACACTTCCAGAGAAGATCCTTCTTTGACTGCTGAATCACAGGCCGGGTGTCCTACGGCGTGAACTACATTCTATGGAATCCTGTGGCGGATGTTCACCATCGCTTTCCGCCGAGACCTTGGAAGAAGCGTTCGAGGGTTTCAGGAGAGCTGTAGCCGCTGAGAGGATGACCGTTGGCCGCACTGGCATATCAGGTTCATGTACATGTCGGCTGCCTGGTAGCTAGGATTCGGCAGAAGGCTTTCAAGCCGTGAGATTGAATGTGTCAACGGACGTCGAAGTTCCTTTGCAAGGCCTGCCTTCAAGGAGGCTCGATTGCTGGGTTCGGATGTTCTCAGTTGCATATGCCAGAGGTCGAGCCTTGCGTGATAAGCAGTGAAGCAGTAGCATGGAAAAAACATGTTGGACCCCCGGAAAAGACAATCACCCGATGATGTCGAGCTGACTTTTGTGGTGCATGCCTTGCTCGTGTGTGGCAGCCGTGGCCTGCGCGGCTCCCAGGCAAGGCAGGCCCAGGTTGATGCTCGGCATGCGTGTGCCTGATGGTCGTGGTGTGGATCGCTTTTGCCGATGCCACATGACACTCATAATGCATACCTGGTCGCGGTGGCATGCGGCTCCGAGGCAAGCCACGGCCACTAGGCTGACTATGTCTAGTCTTGCCTGATGGGCTTGGCCTTCGCTTACTTGCGAGCCGTAGCATTCTGTACTCTAAGCCCAAGTCCGCCCTTAAGATGCATGCCTGGTGACCGTGGCATGCAGTGGTGCTATTTTAAGGTGCGTTTTTATCTGGACGGTTGGGCATGTTTTATCCGTTGTCGGTTTTAGTCAAGCAAACAAGCAACAAATCAAGCAGGAAACGCAAACAACAAAGCGAGCAAAGATCAAAGATGAAACCCAAAGTTAGAAGCCCCAACGCAAGACCAGAAGCGACAGCCCCGGCATCCGGTCTCCTGCCTTAGTATCTCTCCGTCAAAGCTTCAGGGCTCAATCATAAAAACGTCAACCGTATATTGCAAACCTGACACCTTGTCCCAGTGTGAGCGCCGAGACTAGAACTGTGGAGCCTGTGTCTGCATTGCACGTAGTCACATGCTTGTCCGTATGCCAAGCTGTCTGTGAAGAACGGCTTGCCGGCAAAACTGCATGGGGCTCACGTGAGAAAGCAGAGGGGGCATCAGAGGTGTAGCTCTCTCTGGCTCTCTCGCTTTTGCTGTCGTGTTTCCCCTCTTTGTCTCCCTGTTTTTAGGCCAGCATGAGGCAAGCCGCGGCCGTATGTTAGGAAGCCACAAGAAACGAAGGGATTAACATGGTGGATTTCTAGATGTGGCTTATGCAAATTATCTTAGCATCAGCAGCAGGTGTCATTGGACCCCTGGGTTGCCAGAACCTTACCAAAAACCCTTAACTGTCGGAACCTTGCAGCTGAAACCATTGAAGCCCGTCAACATCCTTAAGCCCTGCGAGCGCAATGCACGAGGTTGCTTTCATGCACAAGCCACTTTGCACAGATACCACAGAGAGAGTATACACAAGGAAAACGGATTAGTACACACCGAACCGCCCCGACAAAAACAATACCCAACCCAATCTCTCGACCGTGGCATGCCTGACGGTGACTACGATGCGTGTCTGAGGGCTCAGCCATTTCTCGACTTTAGTCAAAATCAAACGACACTCATGATTCATGATGCATGGATGGTCGTTGCAGCCTGCTTGGGCTCAGGGCAAGCCCAAGCCAATGATGCTCATAGTGTGCTTGGTTCTGAGCACCCGTGCTTCCAAGAAGATGTTGCATATTCCATGGCAGCGAAGTTGCACAGCTGCGAGCCCTTGGCACTGTCCCTTAGCATGTGCTCGTGATTCATACCCCTCCCTCGTTTTTGCATGCCCGCCAAAAACCGTTGCTGTCACAAGAGGCATGAAGAAGAAGCCAACACCACTCCTCGCATTCATCGCAGCACTTCCATTCCGACATGTAGAGATGTGCTGATGTGCTCATCAGGCCGCCTGGCTCCTGCTGCTTTGTGCGAGGAAGCCTGAGCACCGACCTGAGAAGCTGTTGATGTTAGGGACATTACTGGAGTACGTTTGTGAGCGGGCAAATTTTCCAAGATCGCCACTTTATTGGCTACACGACGAAGTGCTCTACTATGCCATGGCCTTGATGCCGTCCAGATTCGGCCATGCTCTCCACCTCTGGGGCAATTTTGTGCCAGATTCTGAACATGTGCAAGTACGACTGGTTCTCCAATCAAGCCCGACTATGTGCGCCGATCACTTGAATGTTTGATCCCAAACGCCACTTCAACTCAGTCCTGCAGCAGGTACGACTTCCAGGCACGAGAGGCCTCTGCGGAAGTGGCCGTGGCCTCACTAGCCTTCAGTCTGGATTCACTTCCTGTGAAAACTGAATCAGGAAAGTGCTACCTTGGGGTGTGTTGTGTTGTGGTAGACTTCGCACTTGCCCGGATCTAAGGAGCCAAGCTTCCAGTGACCCTTGTGCTGCATTTTCACATGACGCGGTGTAACTTTACATGCAACCACGTGCCACTCTCCGGGCCTCCAATCCTGTCAAGGATGCTTGGGAGATTGTTTCTTTCAAAATCGCTGTCGAAAACCCAGGACAACAGCATGGGGCCCCTTTTCCGTCAGGCTTTCAGCTCAGTCGCCCGTCCCGTTGAGGGCTGCGAAAGACTCGAAGATTGCGCAGGTCACCCCTTCGGTGGGTTTCAACTTCGATTCGCAGAGCACGGAAAGCCGGAAGCTTGGGATGCCATGAGGAGATTCAGCGTCCCGTTCAGAATTCCGAGGCGAGAGCACCAGCAACAGCGTGAGCAATGAGAGCTCGTGGTAGAAAGCCATCCATTACAGCGTCCGCCAGCCCTCCTGCCTCAGACTACGGTGTGCATCAGGAAATGAAAGGTATGGGTAAGCGTTCGAGTGCATCGTGTGAGGACTTGCTTTATGCAGAGCGAACTTGGCTGCTCGTTGCTGCCAAAGTGCGGAAATCTTATTAGCCGTGGCTTGGCCAGCCCGCGGCCTTTCAATAGCCCAGCGGCCTAGCGCGGATGTCTAAGGGAGACTGCCAAGACGGCGTAGGCATTCGATGGATCTACTCTCCCTTGGACTTCGGTTCTCTAGCTCTCAGAATTTGAAGCTCCCGCGAAAGCACCAAGTCCGCCCACGCTGGGCGGAGTTGGAATGCAATGCCTTGTTCAAAGCATTTTTGCTGTCGCCCTATGGTTTGTGCGAGTTCACAGCTGGATTTTGTTGACGAAGACTTCCGGTCGCTACATCCAAGAGGAAGCACAGCTAGGGAAGATGAAGAACATGTGTACGACAGATGTGAGTTCTGCACGCATGCTGACGGGCATGCCTGCTTTAGTCATGGCACTGTGCTGCAACAGCCAGCGTTGTAGTCTAATACTGCCTTGCAGGTGAGGGAGAAGGATGAGTGAAACTAGATAGCTTGCAACCTGAGACCTGAAAAGCTCTTTGTCTTTGTGCAGCCGTTCGAGTCATGATTCCTTTACCTGCAGCGTGCCTGTTCATAGTTACACTGGTCTTGCAGTCAGATTATTGCCTGCACGAGGCACGAGTAGTGAATCCGCCACAGGGAGTCGTTCCGACAAAGTCCGGGATGGTCTGCCGCATGTAGGTCAACAAAGGCACCAGCTTGGCCTGTGTATCTGCACATGCCCAAACCTGATTCTGTGAGCAGCCGATCGTCTTTTCGAAATGCCCCAGGGCGCTGTCAAGATTCAACATGCATTTACCAGGAAACCAGGCTGTAGGGGCCTGGAATCAGCAACTGGCTCAGGCAGTTTGAAGCGCTCAGATTTTCAACTTCACTAATGCAGTCTGCGCCCGGGGCACTTGTACAAATTGTTCCTCGCGGATGCGCCGCCGGAACCTGAAAGCGCTGGACCTTGGAAGGCGCGTGAAGCCTTTCCCTTGGAAGCTTCGCCTGGAGACTTGCGACTTCCGATTAGCCGATCAGCCGGTAAAACCAGCTGTCGTGCACTGTTTTGCTTTGGAAGGGATCGGGACACCAAAGCAGACCGGCTCTTCAAGGCAGGGCAGGGCCCAATACTTCTCTTTATTTCCATTTGGGCAACCTCGTGCCTTGAGGTCTTTGATCTTGGGGCAGATGCAAGAGGCACACTTTTAGTGAGAAAGCAGCATCGTTGACAGAGTTGGTGGTCAGGCTCGACCAGACATGGCACTTCCAGCAAGTGCAGAGAACGAACTGCAGAGGACGCCTTGTGGGGAGTTGAGTGGCAAAAGCCGAAGGCCTAGCACATGCAGCATGCCGGCATATGCCGGCCATCCTTGGATAGGAGGAACCACGTGAGGACGACACCATTGGCTCAGGCCCTGAAACCAGGGATCGGGTCAGAACGAGTCTCGTTCTTCACATCATGGGTCTGGAGCTGCTCGTCGAGAAAGCTTGTTTCGCCCGAAGGATGCGCAAGCTGCAATTGAACAGAGACACCCGAGGGAAAAGAGGAGAGGGACAACACATTCTCCTTTCTGCGTATCTTAGGTAGAGGGCCTCGGTGCTTTCTGTTTGGCTCTTTCAGAAGTGCAAGTGCACACTAGACTTGCTGGCAACGCTAAGATGTTGAACATTGGTGTCTTCCGGCAATGCGTGGAAGTCGGAGTCGGCAAACAAAGAGATATGCCTGTGACATGCCGTTTCGGTCCCAGGGCGATTGCATGCGGCCGCGGCCATGAACAGGACAGGTCGTGGAAGGTACTTCAGTAAGCTCAGGGTGTCCATCGGTTTCCTAGAAAGATCTCAACCACCAAGCAGTTGCTACTCGAGTTGCCCAAGTGGTGCTTTCGTTTGATTGAGGTCGGTGACACATGGTAGTGCGACATGTCATAGACATGGCTGGAACTCGTGGCATGCTGGCTGCCTGCTGCACCCCCCGAGTCCACCGTGCAGCCGTGCTCCGGCTCCGCCAGCCGAATGCATGGAGACGGTACAGTACAAGCAATCAAGCTCCGGCTCTCTTGTGCGACAGACACACCAGCATTGACGAACTTGCGGGTCTGATTCGCTTGCAAGTGCAGGACCAGAGCTTCTGCATTGTTGATTGTACACATCTCGATGCAGTGTATTGGGCACTCCTCGCGCTGCACCGAGCGAAACGCCAGACAGAGACGCGACAGCAACACGGGGTCACTCTGTACATGGTCCCCGAGGAAGCCAAGTCAGCAGGCGATGCTGACCAAGACACAGGTGGCAAGGATCGGGAGACGTTCCATCCCAGGCTTCATATTCTGCAAGGTTTCGGGTGGAACTTGTGCGGTACTTCGGATCATTTCCTGATAGCCCATTTCACTCACACCGCTTTGGCAGCCGGGCTTGTGGCTGCGCGTCTTCCAGATCAAGGCACGGCCCTCGCAGCAGGTGGAATCAAGGCCGTGTCGAAAGCATTCCAGATAGTTATGACAGCCAACAAGTTTTTGAAAAGACGGCGCCGGCTGGAAGAAGGCAAGGTGTTTGTCGTGTCGGTTGGCCGGGAGGAAAGTAAGGAAAGCCACCGCATAATCCTGACTTGCGGACTGTTGGATGCACAAAGCGGCATGCCCGACAGCGCCGCAAGTGCGAGTCGACTGGACTCTGTGAATGCTGGACGGATCGTGTGACGTGCGATGTAGGCCCAAAACAAGCCATGATGGAAGCAGTGGGTTTGTCTGTGGCTCGCTTCCGCGAAACGACTTGATTGACATTTGAGGGATGCCCTTTGTGATGCTACTTACCCTACACGAAGGTATCGGGTGCGAGGGAAGAGTCTGGTCCCTAATTCCAGTATGCCGTGTCACTTTAGTCAGACTCAGCCTGACGGCGTGTTCCATTAGTATACCTGATGCCTGCTAGACTACTAGACCTCATGCTGCAACCGAGACGAAGTTCATCTCAGCTCAACTGTCAATGTTGAGTTGCCGAGCCACTTTCACAGAGCCATCTTGCACTGGCAGTGATAGCTCGGCTCGTGAAGCAGTGATGATCTGAAGCTTTCACGAGGGCTTCAGCCAAAGACACCCCCGTCCGGATGCAGGCGAACATGCTCGAGCTTCCCTCACAGTGAAAGTGGAGGCTATGCGTTTACTCTTGCCGAGGGAGGGGGGTGGCAGCGGGAAGGGTATTAACATGCATGGGCTGAGGTTGAAGCTCGAACCATGCAGTTGCCCAACTCCCCTGAACCCAGGAAGCCTCCCAGAAGCCTTTGCACCCCTTAGTGCGGCACAGCAATTCGCACCTACAGCGTAGTAGTGCGCTTTCGCCCTGTTAAAGTCGTTAGGTTCATCACCAGGTAGACCTAGACAGAGCCAGGATCTGTCGCCAAAAGACTTGAGCTTGCAGGTGAGGCTTCAAGTGAAAGACGCAATGCAAGCCTTCGACCGGTGTGTGCTTGAAGAGCTTCTTTCAGAACCCAGCCAAGACGAAACAGATGTGCGGGTAAAATGGACAGAGATGCTCGGCTCTGAGCACACTGATTTTTCGTGTTGCGCAAGCAGGCAGCCGCTGGAAGCTCTTGCGACCTGCATGAGCCGCAAGAGACGTCGATGCAGGAGGAGGACGAGGAGGCGAAACTCGCAGCATCGGACATCGGACATTGCAACCTTTGCGAACTGCGAGTGTCCCAGTTGCAGGCGCTGGGCTTCATCGTGGATGCCGCTGCAGATCAGACGGTCAACGTCTCGGACTATCTGAATCTCGTATTGACGCTTCTCTGTGTTGGGCCATCTTCGTAGACGCAGCTGAAGTCCTGAGATGTCGTGAGCAGATCGCTGCCTGAAAAAGGCGGCCCGACTAGTTCCGTGCGGCCGTGGGGCCATGCTCATGAGGTCGCAGACATGGTTCGACCAGCAAAAAAGCCTTCCATGCCCGCGCTGGGACCTCGAGGCTTTCATAGTATGGCCTCATGCCCGCAGGAGCTGATGTCAATGTTCATATGGAATCGTTTGCTAACCGTGCACAACTAGGCTAGGGGAAGAGCGTGGACCAACAATGGCACGCAGTGCTGGTATGCCACCACCCAGGCTGACCAAAGAGGAGGCCAGCGGTCAGCAAGAGCAGAGCGCAGGGTGCACATGTGTTGTGTGCACTTAGACGTGCCTGCGAGCTCGATTGGCACACAGGTGCAGGAGGCTGAGGCGGCCTGGCGTGTGGAGGGCAGTGCCCGCGCCGGTTTTAAGGTCTTCCGCCGCAAAGAGCACACGAGCGAAGGCTCTCGGTTTGCAGTGCAAGCATGATCAAGCATGCCCCATAGTGCTTGGGCTGTTTCGGCCTATTCAGGCTTAACCGCTGTCACGTCAATGCAAGGCGAGACAGTCAACTGGAAGATAAGACTGAATGTGCAACCACTGGAAAACACTGCCAAGACACCTACCAACAGCAACATCGTATGTCAGATGTTCAGATTAGATTGAGAGATGTCAATAGAGTATCTGGAGGCAGGGAATGCAGAACACCAACCCTGGCGGCAAGAGATTTGGTGGGTCGAGGACTGTATCAAGCACATCTGAAACAAAGACGGCGACATCTAAACATGGACTGGGAAATTGGTTCTTGAACTGGGGGCCCGAAGCAGTTTGTCGAGAGAGCATCCGAAAACGGATTCTCGGGCATAGACGTTCCTTCACACACGCAGCAAGAAGCATGTTTCCTTGTCGCACTGCTCGGCGATGGCGTGCACGGGAAAAGCAGAGCATGAGATTTTCAGCACCCAGAACAGTGCTGCGAGTTGTCGTCGAATGCAAGCGCAGGCGAATCACTACTCTGCTTCCTGACTTTCCAAAAGATTAAGGGCGGGCGGTAAAGCAAGCGAAGTCACCTTCGATTTGTTTCGTGCCTGAACGAACCGCCTGCACCAAGCAAGACCGGGAATTCTTCGGAACTTGGCCATGCGGAGGTTGACTCGAGTGTCTAGTCTAGTCGAAACCCGTCATGTCATTGCAGATAACTCTCCGCCGACGCTGAAGAAGCGAAGCAGGCCTGTTGCCGCAGCGCCTTGTTCAATTGAGCGCTGGTGTTCAGGGACACAATTGAAATCCATGCTTAAGAGGAGCCGGAAGCGACGAAAGAGGTCGCACAGGACAGGACCAGATGCTACGGCTAAGCTTGCAGTGTTTCAGCTGGCGCGGCATGAGACAAACACACAGCGGGGGAAAGCTTGTGATCGAAACTAGCGCAGGAGAGAAGACACTCCTTTTTCCGATCTCTGACAGACAAGTCGCGGGCCAGGCCGCTCAAATTTGAAAATGCTTTTAGATTTTTAGTATACACAAACATTTTTATATGAATGACATAGCGAATAAAAAAATTCGCTTGAATGGGATGCTTACCCGCCCGCCGCAAGTATCTCCCCGTCCCCGATGATAATCACGGGGACATAATTGGTTGGGGCCACTATCCTCGAGACAGTCTTCGTTTTCGGAGGATGGGATTATCATCGCGATGTAAAGCTACTAGTAGTCGCTGGGATTGGTCCTTCTTGGTGCTATGCTTCTTTCTTGGCTCTCGTAAGTTTCCGATATGTAGGGAAACTTCTTATCTCAAATATGGCAAGGGTAGTTGGTAGGGACTTTGATTTTTATGGTTGACTTTGATGTTGGGGGCGGGATACAGACACGGCCTTCAACGGAATAGAACTCACCACCTGAAACACACGGGGAGGAGGCGACGGTCGTTAAATGTAATGCACTAAGATTGTACCAGAGCGAAGGTTATATGGTAGCGATACAGATACCCTCGGCAATAAACATATCAAAGATGAAAGTACTACGATATACTGATAAGTAGTTGCAAGCATGTTTCTGTAGGCTTGCTAGCTGCTCAGCCGGTAATGCAAGATAATTAGAACATGCACACCGTGCGACGAGCCAGCGAAGATTGCAGGTATTCTCACACAAATCCTATGTTTAGGTTTTGAACTTGTGGAAAGAGTCGATATGCTTGCTTGCCCTAGTAAATAATGGCGAGTACCTTAGATTGTTGAGTTTCACGGTGCGGCGGCCCAGGCGAACCTATATTTCCATGTCTCATGCTCTCACTGCAGGTATCCCCACTTCTTTTCCCTTCCCTCTTCTGTGGCTCCT